CAGGACCCAGGCCCGAAGATTTGGAGGACGCTCGTCCTTGACCATGGTCCATGGAATACGAATGGGACCACATCCTTGGCCCATCAAGGATCTCGATCTAACTCATCAAGACGTTCGTCCGATATAATGACAGGAAGCCAAGATATTGACGGGAAGCACATTCAATGCAGTAGATTTGGTGGGTGGGAAGCTGGTCATCGACAATCCTCCACATAAGCACTACTACCTAGCTACCCCTTGGTAGTATAAATAGTAGCATTTGTTTCATTGTAAAGAGTTGACAACTTATTCTCCTTAACAATAACAATTATCTCAGCTCTTAGTATTGAGATAGACGAACGACCTTGGGGCTAGTAGTTGAAGTGTGTTGTATACGGACCCTTATTATCACTTAATAAGATACATCCCACTTACTACTTTTCGTTAGACCCATCTTTACTTGCTTGCATATTAATCCACTAAACTCACCATTCGAAATCCAAAGGAAACGTGTTGGGTCTTTGGGTTGAAGGAATAAACCTCAACATATTTATTGTTGGGGTTTGTTATTTTTTTTTCTTTTTCCAATCAACCTTCTAACTTAATTTTTTTAATTTGTGCATTATAAAATATTTTAGGTATTAATTTTTTATTTTTCTATTTTCAATTTTAAGATGAATATTTATTAGTTTATTAAATATTGTGTGTTAATTACTAACATGATACTAAAATGAGTATAGTGTAAAATAAACATGCATACACAATTGTTAATAACAAATCCACTAGATTTACATGTTATAGAAATGAGTTTATGTTATATTCGAATGAGTATAACGATTAAAAAATGAGCATACACAATTAAATATTTGAACACATTAGTGAATTCAAACGAGCTTTTGAATATTTCGATGCTCATTTTGCAAGTTATGTATGTATGTTTATTTGGTATTGGTTTTATGCTTATTTTAAAATGTTATATCAATGCATATTTTCAAAAGTGCCATATTACATTAGATTCACATGAGAGTTGATTATTGATACGGGAGCACAAACCATGATACTCAAATGCATGTTTCTAATACTCAATAAAGGATATTTGATGCTTAGTGAAATTGTCTCGAAGTTCAACTAAAAAAACATATGATTTTTATATCAATGCTCATTTTGTAAGTTATGTATGCTCAATTAGTACCTTGTTATGCTCATTTTTAAAACGTCACATCAATGCATATTTCAAAAGTATAATATTACATCGATTCGCATATTGAAATTCATATGAGTTAATTATAGATATAATTTAATAACCTTATATAAAAGAAAAAATAAGAAAAAGGATGTGAATGAGAAGATATGAAACAAAGATATGATTCTCATGGTTAGGCTTCTAATACTCAACATAATATGTTCGGTACTCATTAAAAGTGCATTAATACTCATTCGGTATAAGACATGAATTTCATTTAAATTACCAAAATGTCATCGGCAGTACGGTGGGCACTGTAGAGCCGGCTATACGGTATAGTCATATAGACTTCCGGATTAGCTATTTCTATGTTTGATGAATACTTGGAGAAGAGAGCATAAAAAGAAATATGGAGTATTTTATTTAAAATTGCCCTAAATAGGAGTAAAAAGGCTTTAAAATTCCAAAATATGAGTATCGTGTTTTTTATTCCTTGAATAGGAGTAATCTGCCAAATTTGAAAAAATTGTCATGTTTAAAAGCCTAGTAATGTCAAACTTGACAGAAATTTATTTATATTTAGGGAATAAAAAATATGATAGTCTTATTTTGGAATTTCAAAATTTTGTTACTCCTATTTAGGGAATTTACTCTATTTTATTTTGATTTGGTCCAAAAGTCAATAACACTTTCTATACTAAAACATTTACCCTCTCAGTGTTTACTCGATTTTTGCCAACTCTTAAAAAGCAATTAAGCAAATACAGGACTACCGACTACGTCCATGCATGGGAGAGGGAAATAAATGTTGAGCGTGTAATTTAGTGAGGTGGCAGGGTTTTCTTAAACTAGACTAGACTACATACCATTGTTGTTGCTCTAAATTCCACAATAGAACTATAATCATCTTATCCTCAAAATATGAATAATATATGTTTTTTCTTCCTTTTTACACGCTATAATTTCTAATTGATTTATTTAATAATTAAAAATCATAGTTTAATTTATACGGAGTAATAAACAGAGAAAAATCGTAAAAATATTTATAAATTAATAATAAGTTCAGAATAAATAAAATAAAAATAAAATAGCAAAAAAAATATAAAATATATTTAAAAAACTTAAAAATTCTAAAAAATAAAATAAAATACCTAATAATATTAAAAAAATATGCAAGCCACTATCTTCGCATCCTCTACCTCCCAGCACCATCAACTCTGATCATCGTAAAAATGTCATCTTGTATAAAAAAAATATTCAGCTTTCTTTTCAAAATTGCCATCACGATAATATTTTTTTCCCGTGACCGGAGGTGGTGGTGCTGGAAGGTGTCATAGGTGGTGGTTGAGGCTGTATATTTTTTATTTTATTTTTACTTTTTTTATTTAATTTTTTTATATTTTACAATTATTATTTAAGAAATTCTATTAAGAATGACAAGGGAAAGGGTAGAATAGGAAACATTAGTCTTACTTTGAGAACTTAAACATTAAGCTCCTATTGTTCCAATTTTGATTTTATCAAGTCCTATTTAGGAAAAATCTCTCAATGAGAAAACAGAAGTGTCGGATGAATGGATGATTGCTTAGTGGGAAAAAAGATGTACGGAGTATAAGCCATATTTTAAGAAACACATAAGATTTTAGGATGTTTTTAACTCTACTGATTTTTTGTCAAGTCTGTTCTATTTAAGTTTGATCTGGTTTAGTATGATAGGTGTCTAGTTCATTGTATTTTACGACTATCGATATCTAGTTTGATCTGGTTTGTTTAAACTGATCTGGTCTAGTGTAGTTAAATTTGGTGTTGTATGGGGTTAAATCTGGACAATTTTACGTCTTCAAAACTAATTTAAAACATTTATTTTGAGAAAAATAGAATTTTTGAAGCAACAATAATTTTGCATGTTGTTAGTAATTTTAATCGCATAACTTTGGATTGTGTGATTTATTAGTCTTGTAATTCTACTCGATTGCACATTTAGTCCTGCCACTAATAAATTTGTGAAATGTAAGGACTTTTTCTTTAAGAAGTAGACTTTTTGGCAGAAAATTCAAAGGTGGCAACCTCTTTCCCAGTTTATTTTTTGCCAAAAATTGTCCCCTTTATGTGATTATTACATACATAGCAGTTTTTTATGTCACTAAATTGTCGTGCAACCTCAAAACAATTATAACAGTATGCTTTTATTTTTGCAAGTCCAAGTTTTCAATTGGAAAAGTAACTAGGTTTCTCACAATTAGATCACATTGTTTTGAATAAATCATTTCATTTTTTGCGTTCTTATAAATTTTAATTTCAATTTTTGCTAGACTTAATTAGGATCTAATAGATTTTTGTTTTTTGGAGCATATGATAATACAGAAATGCTAATATATTTTAATTACAAATGATGATTTTATTGTTTAGTACACTTTTGCTAGTTTGGGGCGCGTGAGCGTCCCTAGCTGCTTCAAATCATCTCGGACTCTCGGTCCCGAATACCGATATAAACAATGTAAAATTAGGACAAAGAGTTGTCATATGTCGTCCCGAACTATTATTACTAGTCGGGTTGGAAACGGGATAACCATAATTCTGAATCCTCCCAACGCGTGCCTAGGGTTGGACTCGGGTCCGGGCCGGGTCCGGGTCGGGCCTAGGCCCGGGCGGGCCGGCGGGTCAGAAATGGTGGACCCGGGACCGGCCCGGGTAACCACCGGGTCCGGGCCGGGCCGGGCCAAACCCATTATATATATATTTTTTGTTTTCCTCTTCCTAATTAACCCCCCTCCCACCCCCAACCCCCCAAACCACCCCAAATGGCCCAAAATACCCAGCCCAACCCGAAAAGTTAAAAAAAATTGAAAAAACAAAAAAAAAAAATTGGCCCGAACCGGGCCCGGGCCCGGCCGGGTCGGGCCTTGTTTTGGGTGACCCGAGCCCGGACCGGAAAACCCACGGGCCGGGCCTACCCGGACCGGTCACTGACCGGGCCACCGGGTCGGGCCGGGCCGGAACAGTGCCGGTCCCGGGCCGGTTCCGGGTCGGGCCACCCGGCCCGAGTCCATCCCTACGCGTGCCTGCCGACAATCATGATGTTGAGCATAGAGACATCAATTTTTGAATGGTAAATTTTACCCGCACGGGTAGCTCAGTTGGTCGAGTGGTGGGAAAAATTGGACGTAGACCAAGGTTCGAATCCCGTAGCGGCCAAAAGGGGGTTTTCAGAACCTGAAATAAGGCTGGTCATGCGCACGGGTAAAGGCCTACTGCCGCTTTGCCGACTGAGTCACCGTGATTTACTCCCCCACCATCCTGTCAGGTCGGGATGGGGGGCTTTTGGGGTTGGGGATTCAACCTTTTGGACGTTGAATGGTAAATTTTAAAAATAAACAATAAAGATGCAATTACATTATTTTAATATATTCTATGACTACATTCTTATGCTATATGGGAAATATTATTTTCTTATTCTCCTTTATATCAGGTTGGGATTCTCTTCAACTTCAATATCTTAAATTTTGAAATTTATCCCAATTTGTTCTTCTCTGTGGCTCTGCCCAACTGCCTTAATCCAGCAGCTGCCGACTATTTTTGTATTATTTTTATACTATTACTACATTATTTTTCAAACATATAAGAATTTTTATAAGATTAATCAATTGTTCTAGTTAATTATTTTTAAAATACCACACCATACTAGGTTAAAATGACTTGATTAACAGCGTTTTAAAGTGAACTTACTTAGAGCATCTCTAATGAGAGGACTTGTTTGCAATTTGAAAGCAAGTAACTAACCATTAGAATATTGTTTTTTTAACTAGAGAAAGCTCATTAGCCAAAAAGAGCTACTAGTTTGAGGAAAGAAAATTATTAAATATAATGTTATTATTAATAAATGAAGAGGAAACAGAACTTAAATGTATTTCAACACAAGAGAAATACAACTCAAAAAAAGATTTGGTGGTATAGGATGAAGTCGAAAACGGCCCTCTCTTAGGGCTTGGATTAAAACTGAGCCCAAAATTACCACTATAATTATAAATTAAAGAGTTGACCTGGCCAACTGTGTTTTCTCCCATCATGACCAACTGCTGTTACCTCCATGGAGATGTCAATGCTGCGATGCTGAATAGAACGCGCGATACTAATGCGGGATTGTATTCTTACAGCCGGAGAGGCATCAGTACCTAGTGCTTCTAACTTGCCACCGTTGCCATGACAACATGATGACGGAGATGGTGATGGACTTCCTAATGACATTGCAATTGGTTCTTGGAAGGTCAGTAAAGTCTGTGACCAGTGTGTTGTTGGCTGGTATGGAGACGTTGACAGATTTGTTGGCATTTCCTTACAGAACCTATCTGTGAATCCAGTGTCAAACCATAAGACAAGTCCATAACACCAAGTAGTTATTATAGGCTTCGACTCCAACAAAGAGCTGTCAAGGGAGGAATCTCCATTCTGTAGTTCCAATTCTACTATAGATGTGAAATCCATATCCTCAGTCTTCATAGTGAGCAGATCGAATGCCTGGCACAAACATGCTAAGGTTATAATAATACTGGAGTAATAAGATAATACTAACATGTGCCTCCATCCCATTTTTTTGGTCTATATTTTCTTTCTAGGTGTCTCAAAATCAGAGATGGTAATGGGCGGATAAGGAACGGTATGCATATAAAACCACACCCGGCCGCTGGGTCATTGATTTTTAATAGAAAATATTTGTTATCACTAAATATTTAAATGTATTGTCATTAAAAATATGTTCATTCCTAAATGAGATTTTAAAATAATGTTTTGTTGATATATGTGAGTCTCTGTATGTATGTGACTATGTGCTTATGTACTACTCTCAAATATCTCTAAACACATACTCCGTATTATATATGTGATTTTTAATAATTTAAAAATTATTAATTAAAAGGAATTAAAGGTGTGGTTAACCATACACAAAGTAAACGGGATGGTTATGGAGCGGGAACGTGCCCCATAAGCATTATGGCATTATCCAGTGAATGTGGTTTTCTCCGTTTGGACTGGACTGATTCAGTGCAGCCGTGTGCATGGACATTATATCGGGTACAATTGTCATCGCAACTCAAAAGTTTGCCCCATGCCAACTTTGGTCGTTTATGTGGCTTAGAATGTTTTTAACTGGACTGGTTTAAACAAAACAGAGCTCCAGACCAGACTTGAATAGTATTGAGACTGTTTTTAACTGGACTGGTTTTAACCAACGCAATGAAGTAAGCTAGTGTTTTCTTGTTTGGTAAAAATAGGGATGATAAGACTGGTAAGCGGCAATGCATGTCTACCAAATGGGAACTAATACTATGGTTTTTCCTTTTAAGATACAAATAGACATCCACTAGAGCAATTCGGGCCAGATCAGACCGGGCAATAAAATTTCAGTCCAATTAAAAACATCTTTAGACTCATTTTTACTTTTCTTTTACAATTTCAACTCCAACCACACAACCCACTTCCCATTAATATTTGTCCTGAACTCATGTAGCAAACTAAAAGGGACAGACATAGTAACACTTATTTGATGCTGATTAAGGGCTCATTTGGTAAGTCGACTTAGTCTGAGAAGTGAGAAGTGGCTTGAGTGGCCTATATGGTAGTTGAAGTGGGCTGTATTTGCAGAGTCCTCTAAACCATATAAAATACCTATTTACAATATAGAAAGTAATTCAACATAAAATATTAAAATCGAAATATGTTGAAGTAATACTTCTGTTAAATTCAGCCATTTCACCAAAAAAAAACTAAACTTACACTACTTTTTCAATAATGACTTGATTCAAGTCATTCAACCAACGCAATGAAGAAAGCTAGTGTTTTCTTGTTTGGTAAAAATAGGGATGATAAGACTGGTAAGCGGCAATGCATGTCTACCAAATGGGAACTAATACTATGGTTTTTCCTTTTTAGATTTGTGTTAATGAGAGATTTAATCTTCAAAAGGGAGAAAGAAATGAAATGCAAAGCGATGATGGTATATTACAGAGTATGTGGTCAAGTTTGTATTATTTGATAAACCTGAAGGACTGCCGTGCTGGTGACTAAATCAGAACTATCAACAACTTCAACGATTGGAAAATGAGAAGCATCAGCAGCTAGTTCTTTGCCAATACAGGACATGTTAAAGCCATACACATTTTCCCAGAATGGAATGCTAGTTCCACCTTTTCCAAATCCTGCAACAAACTGTTGAAGAATTTATATTACTTTTGTAAATAAGAGATGGTTGCCTCTAGAGACTCACATGGGCAGAGATGGAGCACTTCAAGACTCACCATGGTAGCTGTATCTGGTAGAATTGCACCATCAGGTTTCAGCCATTTGTCTCGTGCCATCAGCACAGAGCTTAGCATAGACTCGTATAGAAGGCAATAACCCATCCATTCACTTATCAACACATCAACACTGTTCGGCTTTACTTTATGGGTAATTTCAATGTCTTCAACCATACCCTGGACCACCTCGAGTACCCCACTATGATCTGGACTAGCATTCCACAGAAGTCCATTTTCCTTTGCAACCTGCACTTATTTGAATCCCACAAAAAGAACTTACAAAAAACTCAATCTTCTAGCCCTCATAATTGGTTGAAATCAAATTATTTAAAGTTAATTTTACTATGATATTGATTAATTAATTAAATTAACCAATCAGGATGAGCGGAAAATATATACTCCCTCCGGTTCTCAAAGACCTTCACACTTTGACTTCACACAGATTAAGAAAATAAATTTGACTTTACTGTGGAGTGCGCTGTTTGGCACTGTTTAGACACTAGTTTGCACTGTTTTGCACTGTTTTGGTGTAGATAATTTGCCAAATAAGGAAATGGGAAGAAGTGTGAAGTTAATTTCGGGACTTCCCGAAAAGGAAAGTGAGAAGTTGTTTAAGAACCGGAGGGAGTATATGATAGAAAAATGTGACAGAAGATTTGAATTGGTTATAACATGGTTTGGATAAAAAAACTGAGAAGCAGATAGCAAACAAGGCCTACCTCAGTAGCAACAGCAGCCATCTTTTCACTAGCTTCCACTGCTAATACCCTTGATGCTCCAGCTTGCGCTGCAAAGAGACTAACAAAAGCAAGTATGAAACTCGGTTTACATCCCAAGAATCAAAATCCAATATGAAATTATGAACTTATAATGAAATTGGCTAGTTTGATTTACTTTTCCAAAAAATCAAATAAACTTTATAATAAACTTTAGTGACACGAAGACAGAAACAAACAAACAGTTTTTTGCAATTAAATAAACTTTATAATGAAAGACCATAAGTAAAAAAATCATCATCAGGGCGTGAATTCAAGGGAACTCTGTGTGAAATTTTAGAGAGCAAGTCATCAGTGTGAGAATATCTGTACGCCTCAATCTATCTTGATTACTTCCTTAAATAACAACTCTTCTGCCATTTTTTTCAGAATCTTAAAGTTCAACTTGAAGTCTTTATTTTCTTTTTCACAAAAGTTTAATGTACCAAGTTCCAAAAAAAAGCATATGAGGATTGGGAAAAGCAAGTATGAGATGTATTATCAGATTTGATCATTGGGGGTATTACGTTGAAGGAAAACAATGTTGAAAGTAAAAAATGTGAATAGGTAACATCTATGCACCTTAGAATGCCAGTGCCACAACCAACATCCATAACCGTGCTTCCCCTGATAAGAGATGGATTTTCCAAAATTGCTCTGCGATAGGCATCTGTCCTTACCTGCATTTATTTTAAAAGGAACATTTACACAACAATACTTAGTTTTGTGTGGAGCATAATTCCTTTTCTCACTTCCTTTTACCAAAGTAGCATACACATAAAGTTAATCTTTCTAAAAGGTTACCTTGTCACTGATCATCTCCCTATGAATGCCAAATGAACTATATGCACCAAAATAACTACTGTTTATGTTATTTATTTTCTTTCTGGCAATATCTGTAATAGAACAAGTATGCCCCTTGTCCTCTGAACTCCCATGAAGTAAAATATTACAGTCCTTAGAATCTTCAATTCTGATTTCTGAATTACCCAAAGAATTTCCATTATTGCAACATCCATCCGTGGTAGGTGTAACCTTCTTTCCACCATTCTCACAACAGGCTCCACGTCTAGATTTGTACTCATCAGATGTGAATTCATGATCATCAATTCTAATATGCTCAAAACTACTCATGTCCTTTGGACACAATGCATCATTGTTATCGACAGACATAGTATCATCTATGCCTTCATCATCTTCAACAAAACTGAATAGAAGTGCATCCTCCTGCAAGTAAGGCTTCAGATACTTGTCATCATCCCAAGGCAGGACATTGTTTTTATACTTGATTATTTTGTGTAAATGGTCTTGCATATCCTGCTTCGATTTAAAGGTGAGCTGACAATTCCAACATCTACTTTCAGCAACCTAGCAATGTCAGTTAAGAAGTAGTCATCAATTAAACGAAGAACATGTCTACAGATTTTGAGCTAAGCAAAGGTCATATGAAATATGTAAAGATAAGAGTTTTGAGGGAATTTCTATCCGCCCTACGCACCTCAGACCTAATGTAGTTGATGAGCTTGAAACAACCATAGAAATCCAAGCCGAGATCATTCTTGAGTTCATCGAAGTCAAAGTGGTGGGAGGAAGCGCAGTGCTGAAACAGAGCTCGGGCGGAGTTTAGCAGAGAATCACAGAACAAGCAAAGCAATTCCGGGTCCATAGTATCGTCTTCTTCGTCGGCTTCCCAATCATCCCAGTTCTGGTCTTCTTCTTCTTCAATAACATCAGTCCCATTTTCCATCTCCATTTCTGTGCTCTGGGAGGATGCATTCTCGTCGCTTAGCGTTGCCATTTGAAGTGGGGAAGCAGACCAAGCGCCACACGCTAAAACCCTAAACCCAACTAGACTTGCGAATTTGTGCCCCTGAATATATGGTTGGTGTCATTTACCCCGTCGCCGCAAATTCAGCATGCATTCACTATTAATTTGATCTAGTTACTCCATTGTCATATATATTAATGTTTACTCAAACACTTCTTAAAATTGTTTCTGGCCCCACAGAGAAGTAGATATTATAGCATTTGGGCGAAAATGTAAAAGTACTTTTGTTGCTCCAAATTACTCTTAGAAGCAATTTTGTAAAAGTTGGTGAGATCAGTTTCTAAAAAAATAATTCTGATTTTGCTTCGGCTTTTAAAATTAACCAGAAGCAGAATCAGTTTCAAACACCTCTCTATTGTCATATGTCAGATGAGTCCTCACCGACTATAGAACAATATTATTTGTTTGAGAAATTCATTGGTTGAAGGCACGACGTAGAATTCAAGAAGTTTGCATCGCTCCCGACCGCCACTTCATGGAGGAAACAACGACCGACATTGTCGCAGATTCCGACTGATTTTTACCAAATGTATTTAATGTTTGAAATTATTTTCAATTGTCAATTGTACTTCATATTACAATAAATATACATTGAATTTTTTTCTAGCACTTGTGAATTAATTAACAAAAAAGTAAAAAAAGATAAACTTTAGCCCGGCCAGGGCCCAGATCGAAGCCCGACCCGGTACCGGCATACACGGGTAGGTACTGGGGCCTGATATTTTTGGTCCAGGAGCCCGCTAGTCTTGGCCCTGAGCCCGACCTAGTCCACTCCCAGATGATGAGAGTCACTTATAAAATATTAAAAATTCTTTTTGGGCACACTTTTTTGCACACTTTTTATACATGTTTGTATGCTATTTTTTTGTTTGTCAACAAACTATAAAAGTTGAAGATAATAAACTCTTCTATATCACAATTGGAATCATTTGATTTAGATAATATATCCAATAAAAAGATATGTTGAAATGGTGAAACATGTTCATCCAAAAAAATCATCATCGAATGTGCGTCTTCTGCATCTGATTTCACTTTCATCTGATCATATTCTAGTCATCGTGTATTCATAAAATTTATAGCTACTTGATTTATCTCTCACATGAGACAATGATTTTATTTGAATTTGCATACGAAAGACATGCTTAAATTATTGACAGAATGTCGTCTCGATTCAAGGTGCGAGTTGACCTGTTGAATATATGCCCTAGGACAGTAATCATTTATGATTTATCGATGGATATTTAATGCTCATTAATTAATAAAGTCACAAACTAATTTTGTGTTAATTAATATTGTGAATTTTCTTTATTAATATTTAATTCCTGAATATTATTTTTAGTAGCTAATTAAATTTGAAAATTATATGAAATTTAAATTATTAAATATTAACCTGAAGAGACAAAGAACAAGGATGATCCAAACTTAACTCGTTGATTTTTCAAAATACAAAGCTACATTAATTATTACAGAGTACTCCGTATAACATAATCTCAAGAGGCTAGTAATAATTTTCCCAAAATAAAAGGCTGTGAAAGTAGCAAACAAAAGTAATGAAGTCCACCAGCCCCAACATCCCTTATCCAGGCGATTGATATGAAGGAGTCATTAATTAGAAAAATTAATTATTTAATCATCATCAATCAAGAACTTAATAATAAAAGCTTCAAGCCCGCTTTTCAGGCGCGCATATCTTACCGACTACCATCGTCAGTATTCTCTTTCAGTCTTTCTCAATTCTCACTACATGATTCAAAGTTCCGCCTGGAGCATTCAATATATCCATCATGCGCACTAATTGATATTTAATGGAAGAGCGTTAAAACTGGCTTCTGGATTCAGTAAACTAAACCCAACCCAAGATTTTAGATTTGCAATTCAAAGCTCAATGTCTCAATTCAAAATTGAGTTAACCGTTTTGCGCTCTGCGTAGTTCGCTCCCAATCGTCTGAGCTCGCCCTCCCTTTTGATATCACCATGGAAGAGTAAGCACATCTCCTCTACTGAGATCTCAGTGGATGATTTTTTTTTGTCGGGGATTGTATTTTTAATCTGATTTATTGAAATGTGGTCGCGCCCAGGGAGAATTGGGTTGAGCTTGTACAGAGATACAGAAGAGACAGACGCGTGCTTCTGAATTTCATACTCTCCGGCAGCTTACTTAAGAAGGTGGTTATGCCTCCAGGGGCAGTTTCTTTGGATGATGTGGATCTTGATCAGGTCAGCGTTGACTATGTTCTTAATTGCATCAAGAAAGGTATGCATATGTGATAGTCATTTCAAGAGAGATTTCGTTCTTGCTTCTTAATGCTCAATCCCAGATTAGCTGAACAGAAAAGCCTCGTCATTAATGTAGGAGGAATGCTTGAACTTGCCGAAGCTATTCGAGATTATCACGACAGTACATTGTTCCCTAACATGGTAAACTTGAGATCATCATTTAGTAATTTTCCTCTGGTGCTATGTTTCCTTTTATAGACCCGTGTTTCATTTTAATCAATCCCATGGTTTTTATTCGTTATTTATTGCTCTTAAAGAACAATGCAGGGTCCTCCAGTGAATTCTTTTTTGCTACAAATCCTGAATTATCAGGTTCGCCTCCGAGGAGGACGCCTCCAGCTGCCCCCATTGTGACACCCCTACGGATTCTACCAAATCTTTCAACAGAAGAGCCCCTTGATTCTGAGCCAGTTGAAGAACAATCTGCCCTCTCAAAAACCCAATCTCTTAATTCCAGTCATGCTCAGGAGTTAACTGTAGATGACATTGAGGATTTTGATGACGATGATGATCTAGCTGAAATTGATAGCCGCAGATATTCTAGAAGAGTTCTAAATGATGCCACTGATCTTATGCCTGGTCTGGCTTCATTTGCAACAGGTAATTTATTTACTAATATATAATATTATCCCACATCATTATATGGGAACTATGGAGACACATCGTAATGTACTAAACGACAAAATGCAGTAACGTATTCACAACTGAGATGATTAATATATATTTTCATTTCTTTGTACATAAAGGGCAGGGTTGCACTGCATTTTTTTTAAAATTGTTTTATTCATTAAGTTATTTTCTACAATTCATTGAAACACATTGTTGTTGCGTACTAGTTTCCTTTAAAAAATGACTTTCTTAAACATCGTTTTTTAAACATTGGTTTTCCCTTTTCTATTTGAATGTTGCCTATCCGTTGTATTCATCGCTGGGATGCCCCGATTACCCTTCAAATGTCAGAACATCTGTTGTTATCCATATTTTAAATGTTTCCTCGTGGATATGGAGTGCCGAGCTTCTAGTATCTGCGGGCAGCTATTGCTGATCTGACTTTACTATTTAATTTGCAATCTTTTAAAGTTAAGTGGCATCCTTAACAAAGCTAATTACTTGGTCATCCTTAAGGGGGGGAGTGAAGTGTCATCCTTATGACTGTCGGTGTCATCCAATTTTTTTATTAAACCCCTATCACCCTTTAAATGTTGGAAATTCGCTCTCTTGGGTTTCTCCCAGGTATTGGTGATCACGACCTTCGAGAAACTGCATATGAAGTTCTCCTGGCTGCTGCTGGAGCTTCAGGGTACTGTTCATTGTTTGTGTGTGTGCGTTTTCTGTTCTGCTACATTTTATTGACAGTTATGAGTTTTTTGTTTTTAATTTGATGCCCCTGCGATCAGAGGTCTAATTGTACCATCGAGGGAGAAGAAAAAAGACAGAAAGTCTAAGCTGATGCAGAAGCTTGGACGGAGTAAAAGCAATCATGGTGCGGTTAGGCCTCAGCATTCTCATGGATTAGTTTCTCTTTTAGAGACCATGCGTACTCAAATGGAGGTCAGCTATTAATATATGTTTCTAGACCTTGCATGTACAGGGGGGTCCCATTTATATTATCTTGGATTGTAGCATAAAATCTGAGTTTGGTTACTCTTAAGTAATGCAAAAAGTTGCTCACTATATTGTAGTTTAATGGCGCATAGACAACTTTTGTGAAATATGTGGACGTGCCATCCCAACAGAGCAAACAAATTGCAAATTTGCATCCTTAACTACAATAGTGCAATGGCAGTAGATTTTTCATGTTTTTCTGAGGCATGGAAGCCCCAGACATTGCATGATGTTATAACAGCAAACAAATGAGATTTGATCACAAATTGGACTGAATTTTGTAAAGTTGTGTATTGATTCAGCAAAAGATATAGGATATGAAGTATGAGGTCAGGAGTTGGGGTTTATGTCAGCCTAGACAAGAGCTGTCATGAACTTATGGTACTTAAAAACCACTTTTGTTCAAACCATGGGGGGCAATGATGCCATGATGTGGAAGACTTGTCTGCTAGTTTTTTCTTTCTTTTCTAAATTTCTGAGGGTGAAAACATTTTTCGTTAGGGTAGGACTTATCTGCTAGATTTGGGGTATGGTTTGGGGTTATTGGATGATAGGGGAAATTTGGGTCACAAAAGTGGAGGGGATGTCAATAAGTTTTTCCTGTATCCTCTGCCCTTCTCTTTGTTTTCTATCCCTCCAATTTGGGTGTTTTTGAAGCGAAAGCTAAATTTTAGTCCCTTCCGCTCCACTCCGACAAATCTACACACAACACTCCCTTTCCCTTCCCTCAAATCAAATACACCTTTAGATCTAGTTTTCGTGTTTACTAGTTTGGTGAACTTATAATCATAGAATATAGTAGTATTGTTTATCCATGTTCTTTTTGTATCTCATATGCTGGTCATTGTTTCCTGAATTCCTAATTCTAGAGCATTGATTTGTATAAACTTTTCAATCCGTTAGGTATCTCACAATTTATCATGGCTACCAGATTTCAGAGGCAATGGATATTCGAACACGAGAAGGGCTTCTTAATGCTATGGTGGGCAAAGTGGGAAAAAGAATGGATACACTGCTGATTCCACTGGAGTTGTTATGCTGCATTTCACGCACAGATTTTTCTGACAAGAAGGCATATATAAAGTGGCAGAAGAGACAGGTGACATATCTTTTCTCACACTAGTGTTGTTTGTATATGCATATTTAACTGGCACCCCCTCTCACCGCTTTCCAGCAGCAGTTTGAAAATGCTGAAATTGTGTATGATACTTAAACAAATGTTCTACAGGGATAAGGCTGCGTACATCCAACCCCCCTTACCCCACCGTAGGTGGGAGCCTTTGTGGCACTGGGGTAATGTTGTTGTTGTTGTACTTAAACAAATGTTGTATGCTCATTTTGTGTTAGTTCAGTTAAACATGTTGGAGGAGGGGCTTGTCAATCACCCTGCTGTCGGGTTTGGGGAATCTGGCCGCAGAGCCAATGAGTTAAGAGTTCTTCTTGCCAAAATTGAGGAATCCGAGGTTTGTATTGATTTATTCTTTGTGTTATTAATAATCTGTGAGTTTATTCATATAATAGGAATAAGTGAATAACAGATAGTCTTACTTGCCTTTGACCCAACCCTTTCAAACTATTTCCTTCTGAAATGCCTCTTATTTGGAGGATTTAGTTACTATAAAGCCAACATCAAAGGAAGTGATGAAGTTGATGCATCAATCTACCACGATCCGTAAAGATAGAGGATGAAAAGTTGACCTATGCATGAGAGAAGTTCCATGCTAAACAGTTTTCTAGTCTTGTTTGTATATGCACTAATGCACTTAACATGTTTTGTTTCTTTCAGTCTCTTCCAGCTCCTGCTGGTGATCTTCAACGGTCTGAATGTTTAAGATCACTAAGAGAAGTTGCTATATCACTGGCAGAGCGGCCAGCTCGAGGTGACTTAACTGGTGAAGTATGCCATTGGGCTGATGGCTATCACCTGAATGTCAAACTATATGAGAAACTACTTCTTAGTGTCTTCGATGTCTTAGATGAGGGAAAGCTCACTGAGGTTAGCTATAACACATATTATCTGAATATATTATGCAACAATATGCCCTCCCTGTAATACTCTCAGTCTTCTCATGTGGATTGTGAATACCATACATTCTTTTGAAGTGCAAATATGCCCTTCCCTGTATTTGTTCATCAACTTAGTACAATTGACTAAATGGTTTATGCCTTTATGAAGTACAGAAATATTAAAATCCTAAAATGACAATAGGAGTATATGATACATTGATTCTCGGTTTTATTTTCTTGTTTATTAGCGCTTCATTTTATTTCCCTTTTCAGCTTGTTGATGTGTTAACTTTGCCGCATCGGTTTCAGTTTTAAAGTATTTCTTGTTTTCCCGTGTGTGGGATGCTATATAGAGTCCAATTTTTTTATTGTTATTGATGCTGATTCTGATGTTTATATTTACAGGAAGTTGAAGAGATTTTGGAACTTTTCAAGTCTACCTGGCGTGTTTTAGGCATCACAGAGACAATTCATTACACTTGTTATGCATGGGTGCTTTGCCGTCAGGTAAACAAAAGTAACAAAGGTTCTTTAGTTGCACTTGTATAAACTTGTCAGAATAGCAACTTCTTTCAGCATGCGATGTCATTACTGCATATGTTTTATGCATACGATGTCATTACTGCATATTGTTTCTTGATATTTTTTTCTAAGAACAAAATCCTTGTGATCTGCATATGTAACAATGTCAGTTTCTTATTAGTTGAAGTGTATACCACCTGGAAGTTTAAGCTGTAAATAGGATACACTTACTATTTTTTAATTTGTATTTCACTGCAACATATTCCATTCAGGTATTCCAAATACCCTCCCTCTCATTACTGAAACATGTGAATATTTTGATGACGTGATAACACGTGATTCAAGCCCATGTTATGTTATGTGCCCACCTCAAAGAATGCTTGTCTTTGTTAATCTTAAACTTTTAACAGATGAGAGAGTTTTTTTAAAAAAAATAAGAGAGCCTAACGTGTTGGATAGTTGGAGCTATTACATCTTTCCGACAAATGTTATGTAGTGTGATACAACAGCAAGTCAGCAACCAAGGTTCGGTCTAAAAAATCAATGGGGTCTGCTACATGGACTAGTAGTCTAGTAGAGAATCTGAATGTAATGTAGTGTGATGTGCTCTCGTTTTTTGCTTTTTATTTGTTAAGTATATACCCCTTTCTCTATTGTGAACTTTTGAAAACCCAGGGCTCTTATACCATGCATGATACAAAAACAACAACATCCAAGGCATGGAGAGATACCATTTATCATACTATGATATGATAGAATGAATAGTATATATAATCTATCAATGGAGTTCATGGAGAACGCACACTCAAACAAGGATATACAGTCTCAGTCCAACAGGGATTCGGTTCTATATGACATTTCTGATTGTATTGAGAGCATTGTTATCATGTGGTCCTCGCTTTTCCTTAAAATGTTTTTTAGAACCATTTCTTAATGGAGTTTTCATCTCTTTATTCTGTTTGGTAGGTGGGTTCATAGTCAATTCTACAAAGTGTGCTTTTTGAAATATTTGTTGGATTACAGCTTCCTTATATTTCTACAGTATGTCGTTACTGGCGAACAAGGAATTCTGCTGCATGCCATTGAGCAGTTAAAGAAAATACCATTGAAGGAACAGCGAGGACCACAGGAGAGATTGCACTTGAAGAGCTTGCAATGCAGAATTGAATGTGACAAGGGATATCAAGAACTATCTTTCTTACAGTCTTTCTTACTGCCTATTAAAAAATGGGCTGATAAGCAGTTGGAAGACTACCATCTTCACTATGCTGAGGTTTGTTGGCTTAGACATTTTTTATGCATTGGCAGTTTGGCATGGCATAGTGTTCTTGCTCTTCCTATTTGCTTGTGTAATTTAACTAAGGAGGATTTTGCATGATGTCCTTCTCACACTCTCACAGTAAGCAAAAAAAATCTTAATTTGAGGCCAGGGAACACTATACTTTATTATCTTCCTCATACATGGAATAAAGTTGATGAAATAAAATAGTTCTGGAATTTGAGTAGTGTTGCATATACGAAATAAAGTTGCATATATGCCAGAGTATGGATGTAAAATGCTGCTTAGTGCATGACTCTAGGTTACATTACCTTTGTAAGTCATTTGTACTGGATTTTAAATTCTTTGCAATGGCGCTATATTTCCTTTTTCTTTCTTTATTTAAGAAGTTTGTTCACATTTTTTCTTCCATGATAGAGTTCAGCAATGATGGAAACCACTTTGGTAGTGTCAATGCTTGCTCGAAGACTTCTTTTAGAAGAACCTGAATTGGTATGTCGTATTTACCTTTCCCCGTCTCTTGCCCCTCATCCTCCAGACTTCCATTTCTAGAATAGCATAAACATTCACTGCTTACTCTTGATTAATTCTGAATTTGTTTGTATTACACATAATTATTGATTACTATTGATTTCATCTATATCATACATAGAGGTTTAAGCATTTCTTTTTCAAGGCAATGCAGGATATACACAAGACTGATTCGGAGCAGATAGAGTTTTACATTTCCTCTTCAACAAAATATGCTTTTGCAAGGGTAATTTGTTGAATAGTTTTTTTATTGTTATTTATTTACAGAGCAAAACAACTGTCAACATTTCTTTTTAAATGGCACATGTGACTTTGTAAGCTTAACATATAATGCAAATCTCATTTTATTTAACATTAGTATAAGTTCTCCTAATCCCTGGGAGACTGTTACTCTGAAGCATTCATTTTAGTTCAATTGAGATATTAATGCTAGAGTGTATATGTCTTCAGTGACAGGCATAGTGTAGTACAGAGATTCATGATAAAGAACATATAAAAAATGACTGTAATGTCTATAAAGTCGTTAGCTTTTGTTAGGGCTTACAACCAAGTATCTGACAAAGTCGGTACTGGAGATCTAAATTTCCACACAAATTGAAAAATAGTTATTAAGTATCATGTGTGTACACATTGGGGAAACTGAAAAAGATCTATCATTTGCATGTTTAGATGAAGTCATGCTCAGCATGTTATATGGTAATCTTGTGTTGTCTCCAAAGTAGAAGCAAGGGAGAGGATACATTGAAGCATGAACCGTACAATAGGAAAAATTGGAAATTCATGGAAGTCCATGATACATACACAATGCACATGTAGAGAATCTTAAAAGTATGTCTGCCATGCAGTGCATGTATTTTTTTCAGATATCAGCAAAGACAAAATATTCAGGGTATTCATTTGAAATGTTATACTCCTAGACTGATTGATATTTGTTCATTTGACCTTTATTTTCCTTTCCATACACAGATGCTGCAAGATGTGGAGACAATGTCAGATGCAGCACATGAGCATCCCTTGGCATTGCTTGCAGAACAGACAAAGAAACTTTTGCAGAAAGATAAAACCATTTACATGCCTATTTTAAAACAGAGGCACCACAATGCAGCTGCTGTTTCAGCATCTCTACTTCACAGACTATATGGCATTAAGCTGGTAAGCTTATTGTTGGTTCATTGGTTTTCAAAAGATCCATTTGTGATTTTGGACTTGCAGTGATTCCTGAAATACGAGAGTCATTGTAAATATTTCAGAAGCCATTTGTTGATAGTGCCGAGCAACTTAGTGAAGACATTGTAGCTGTATTTCCTGCTGCCGACAATCTTGAGCAGTACATCATGGAAATAATCATTCAGACCTGTGAAGAGAGGGCTGCAGACCTATACTGCAGAAAACTGAATTTGTACAAGGTTCTTACCATTTTTATGGACAAACATATAAGTAACTATGCAAGAACATGTATCTTTCATTTGTGATGGTATCATGTAACATGTTTTTGTGCCTCTTGTTTTATTTATTTATTTGTTTGTTTATTTAAGATGGCGATTGATGTATTTCTTTTAAATTATAATATAATTTCTTTGGTCTGAGTTGTACATACACTGTAGTTTAGAGATTATTAGTGGTTGACTGGTTGCTCATTTTTCATTTTTAGGTCTCTCTTCTATACTATTCATTTTAAACCAGGAAATAATAAGGCTTGAGTTCAGTTGTAATATTGTATAATAGTGCAGTATTTTGTCAACAGGTTCTAAGTCACCTTGGACGGTTGGACCTTTTGGGACACTAGAATTTCAATAAAGTTGTTTTTGGGTTTTTTCCCTTGAGACCATTATAGCTTTATATATCTCTTTCTTTGTTTTCTTATGTAATTCTCTTATTGGCCACATGTTCTAGCTTCTCCGTGTTTTACCCTATTTGTAAATTATGAATTCCACAACCGCTTTTCCCCATATGACTGTAAGTTGGGTAAAAAAAAGTTCTGTGTGTAACCATATTTCTATCTACTCTGATTATATATTGTTTTTGTATAATGTTTCCTATTCCTTGAAAGCCTGTTTTAAATATCTTTATGGATGCATAGATGCATACAATATTCTCAATTTAGTTGCACTTGCACTTCTTTCACCATCAGTAGTGTTCCCTACGATACTAGCTGACTGCACTTTTACTGGTATATCTATGATTATTTTTTTTGTCCTGCAAAAAGCACGAATACAATTTATTATTTTTTGTTGTTTCACTTCAGATTGAAATTGCTTCAAGTACTCTGGTTCTTAGATGGGTAAATTCACAACTTGGAAGGATCTTAGGTTGGGTTGAGCGGGCTGCTCACCAAGAGGTTGAATCTGTTTTAGTTTATTCATTTTATGTACTTGTTTACTTTCATTTGTTGAGCATGATTTTACCCACCGGATTTCTTACTTATGTCCACCAGTGTAGAGTACTCTTTCCATTTCTAATATGTGTCTAATTTATTTGTTTTCTGCCACCCTAATGTTCTAATGACCAAGTTATGGAGCTGGAACCCAAAGTTGATGAAATAAAGTTAGGTATTGTAAACTACATGAAAAAGATTTCTCAAAGCGATGGATTCTTAAGATACTCTCGCATTGGCAAAATATGTCAAACATCAGTCATAGTTAGGCTCAGTTGACCATAAGAAAGTGATCTTTGACAAATAACATGAGATGCGTGGAATAAGGTCTGAAACAGTTTAGCTGGTTAAATTTATTGTGATGGAAACTCTGCACATATATGTAAGGAAAACACCCCATACACTGAGCTTTGCTAAGTTATATAACACCCCAAGCTAGTTTATAGTGTGACTTTGTAAATGAAGAATCTCTGTTATAGCATTATATGCTTAATTGCTTATATAAAGTAACACGGAATACATGCTGCGCCATATTCTATATAATATGCTACTAATCTTTATCTAACTTCGGTGGCAATTCAGCCTTTTGCATTGCATTGGGTGTGCGTGTGTCTATCATCTTCTAATTCTTTTTCCTAAGGTCTTACCAACCTGCACAAACTAATGCTGGAATGTTAATTCCCAGAACTGGATGCCAGTGTCACCACAACAAAGATATGGAAGCTCGATAATTGAAGTCTACAGGATAGTTGAAGAGGTTAGTGTATCATTTTTCTATTCCATTTGTCTTGTTTTTTTGTTGTGTTGTCTGCTATGTGTTGCAATTTTTTCTTACCAATAACAATCAAACTACTTTTTGGGTAGTATGACATTGAATAGAGCAAAGTGGAGGGGGAGGATATGTGTGGAGGATTGATGTCCTTGTATCCTTTTTAACTTCGGTTTCATATATCAATCATGTTAGCCGATCCCAAACTCTTTTGGGACTGAGACTTGGATGTTGTTGTTTGACTACTTTGTGTATATGACATCAAGATGGACATGTTGGAAATTCCTCTAGTATTTGGTGTCACAAATGCTGGTATATATAATAGAAACTTTATCTTTGAAACAGGAGAGGTATTTGCTAGTTTTCATGATTTTATGATAGTAACCACCACGTGAGAGTTAGTCACAGTCAGGATTGGTGGGTGACCTAAGTGCTTACCAGTTTCTTATCTAGGTAATTAGATCGCGAGTTCAAGTCCTTAAAACCTACTAAAAATGGATGTCCATGTAAAGCTGTGCACATAGTACTTTTTGGGTCAATTTACTTTTGTGATCGATTTTTTATTTTCTTGATGTTTGTGTTATATTTTTTAAATTATTGATAGTTAGCTTGTGCCACCTAATTATTGAAGGTGTAACTAATTGCACTATTTAATTTTGAAGTCGTCTTGCAGAATTAAATTTTTGAAGTGTCGGTTACTTTTTTGTGATGACTTTACCTTAGTACTAACAATCTCAATTGTTTGGGTATTGCAGACAGTTGATCAGTTGTTTGCGCTTAGATTGCCAATGAGATTAGAGGAACTAAATAGCCTCTTCAGAGGAATTGACAATGCATTTCAATTGTATGCAAAAAATGTTGTTGAAAAGCTTGGTACGTACATTTTCATGCTTGAATGTATTTACGAGTAAATAAGTTCAACAACATAAAATCACACATGCTAATATCACAACTTACTCAAAACAGAACTTCAAAATCCTAATTTTTTACTACTAAATAATTAACATCGAGTAATGTAAGGATTTTATTACTCGTGATGTTTAGTTTTATGAATGAATTGCTGATATTGTATGATTTTATCTCTTATTCATCTCTAGTCTCATCTAAAACTATTCAATGACAGCCAATAAGGAAGATATTATTCCACCGGTTCCTATTCTTACAAGATACTCTAGGGAACATGGAATTAAGGCTTTTGTAAAGAAGGAATTAAGGGATACAAAGTTGCCTGACAGCAGAAAGTCCAGTGACATCAATGTTCCGTCAACCTCAAAACTCTGCATCCAATTGAATACACTTCATGTGAGATCAAACATTATCTATCAAGTGTTTGGATTTTAATTTTATTATTTGTTACTCAAATAATTATTTGTCATATGACAGTATGCAATTAGCCAACTGACTACATTAGAAGATAGCATTTGGGAGCGCTGGTCAGGGAGAAAACAACATGATAAGATTACAAGTGAGTGTCTTTTTCATTTGATGCATAAAATCAATGTAAAACCAGTGTAAAAGATTTGTGCTGTATTTTTTTGTAATTTTGTTATGTCCTGTTTATTATCATTGCTTTTTATTTTTTTGAAGTGCAGACAATAAAAATGTTTATTTGTGTAAATGGCCCTGGATTGTTTTAACAGAAAAAATCCGTGATGTCTTTACCTGTAGGAAGCCCATGCAAGTGATGCAACTATCTTCTCGATTTTTTGTATTGATATTGTTCATATTGTGATTTTGTATTCAGCGAAATCTACAGATGTTGGTACAAAGAGTTCACTGCAGAAGAGTACATTTGATGGCAGTAGAAAAGATATCAATGCAGCCATTGACCAAATCTGTGAGTTTACGGGTGAGAAAATTCCCATTTTATTGCAGTGCAATTTTTTTCACTCTAATCATTCATTCTAATGTAATGTATTCATATCGTACAGGAACTAAAATTATTTTCTGGGATTTAAGAGAATCATTCATTGACAATCTATACAAGCCCACAGTAACTCAATCTAGGTTTGAAGTGCTGATGGACCCACTTGACACAGTATGTTTATGAGTTAGCAATTATGATATGCTGAGAATGTTTTGAATGTTAAAATGTAAAAATAAAAGCTTTGATCCCAATTGCATGCAGGTTTTGAATGAACTATGTGACGTTATAATGGAGGCACTAAGAGATCGGGTTGTAACCGGCCTCCTTCAAGCTTCATTGGTCTGTCTTATCTCAACCACCGTCTCTTCAGTGTAGTTATTATTAGAAAAAATTCACATGAATAATCCCATATTTTTCGGTTCTTCCAACATTAATCCCAAATATGAGTATTTCTAAAATAATCTAATTAATACATGGCATCTTCTCAAATTAAGCCCATGACTGGAATGAAAGGATTCATCAGGTCACCCAACACGTGTTTTACTCTGATTGGACTTCACACATTTTTACTTTTCCATTTTTTCCTTTTTTTTTTACTTCTCCTCTTCCGCTCAGACCTTTCTCTTCCTTCATTTCTCTTGTATTCTTCTTCTCTTTCATTGAACCTCCTCTTCTGTCCATTCCATCATGTCATCATCATCATCATTTTCATTTACCCCAGTGCCGCAAAGGCTCCCACCTACGGTGGGGTAAGGAGGGGTCGGATGTATGCAGTCTTACCCCTGTACTAAAAAAGCACAGAGAGACTGTTTCCGGATGACCCATAGTGAAAATCCTGTCCAAAATTGCATGGACTGACTGCTGCTTCATAACAAAGAAGTGCAGACAGTTTAGTGAGCCATTTTGCTTTATTCCATCATAATCTCAAGCCAAAAAATAATGAATCTTTGGCTCCATTGCAAATGATGGAAACCCTCTTCTGTCCACTCCATTCTTCTTAATTTCTTTTACAACTCCAGTCATCCAACTAAAGGGATGGACAGAAGAAGAATCAGATGCCCTCCTTCGTCGCTATTCCGGTGAGGACCTCAGGACCTCCATTCGATCGTTCAATTAGAAACAAAATGATATGCCATCCTTCGTCACCATATTTGTCTACACCAGAAGCAGGGTGCGCTCCTTTGTCCCATCTTTGACATGAGAGATGACTTGAAGCAGTGAAGGTGACCACCGCCTTTTCCGCTGCCACCTTCCTTTTAGCCGGCGATTGGAATTGATTCAAGAGGGAGATGAAAGTGTCAGAAACACCTTCCTTTCTGTGTGGATTGAACTACTCTTACGGTCAAAGATGAATTGTGTAGGAGGAAGATGAACACTTCTTCCATGTCTTTTCCATAGATGAAGAGTGAAGATGACGTTGAGGATGGAGTGGATCTAGAGTCTAGACGCATATCAATCTTTTTCCTTTTTCTCTTTGTTGTTATGTTTTTATCGGGTTTAGAAGGTTGTAGGTGACATGGATCAATGGCAGAAGACCACATACAAATTTGAGATTATATTAGAATTACATATACTTGAGATTAATATTAGAAGAACGTGAATAGGTTGGATTATTGATGTGATTTTTAACATCCGGTAACTAACCTTTTTTAAGTTGTCAACTGGACAGGATGGCTTACTGAGGGTCATATTAGATGGAGGTCCATCACGCATATTGCATCCCGGTGATGCTAAACTATTGGAAGAGGATTTAGAGGTCTTGAAGGTATACATTCCATTTTATAATTTTTAGGCTCTACTTGTAAATCTCTTCTGGGATATTCTTGTGTTTCATCATCATCATTACCTCAATGCCGCAAAGGCTCCCACGTATGGTGGGGTAAGGGGGGTCGGATGTACGTAGTCTTCCTTCTGTACTAAAGCACTGAGAGACTGTTTCCGGATGACCCAAAGTGAAAATCACGTTGAAAAATGGAAGTACTGACGGCTGCTTCATAACAAAGAAGCGCAGACGGTTTAGTGAGTCATTTTGCTTTATTCCATCATATTCTCAAGCTAAAAAATAGTGAGTCTTTGGCTTCATTGCAAATGATGGAACCAGAAGTGTTTGCACAGGAAAATAAAGGAAATATTTTTGTGACACCAGAAGTATTTTCCCAAAACAATTTTATGTTTTTTACTTTATATTTTGGGTCAAACATTATATTATACATAGAATGACTTATGTTCCCATAAAACATCTCCTAGCAAACATCATTCAAAGAGCTCAAATACAGTATTCACATTGTGTTTCTTATAGGAATTTTTCATCTCGGGAGGTGATGGCCTTCCTCGAGGAGTTGTTGAGAACCACGTGGCACATGTTCGGCAAGTGATAAAATTACACGCTTATGAGGTTAGTATTTCTTCATAGAAATAAAAATAAATGACAACCACACACGGTCATGGTTATTCCAGCATTAATAAAAATACTTCAATTGTAATCTTTATATATGCATGAATATAATCATTGTGATGGTTGAGATTTGAAAGATCATTTTTGGTTGGTTGCAGACTAGGGAACTGATAGAGGACTTGAAATTTGCAAGTGAGGTAGAAATGCAGGGTGGCAGGAGCAAACTTGGTGCAGATACAAAGACCTTACTTAGGATTTTGTGTCACAGAGGTGATTCCGAGGCCTCTCAATTTGTGAAGAAACAGTTCAAAATACCTAAATCTACATCTTAGTCTCGTACTAATTTGCTTGCTGTATAGAAGATGCTATTGTAGCCTTTTTTTCAGTGAAAGTTAACAACAGCATTTGAAGTACATTAAATGTCCTAGACGCTTAGTTTTGCTAGGTATCTGAAACACTGCTTCAGGCCTTCAGGGGACCCATATTCATTTGTTGAGCTTATTTTTGGTTATCCTCTTGTACAAAGACAAGGAAATTGAGAATGATGATGCGCATGGGTGTATTGTAAATTGATTTAGTGACATCTTAATAGAAGTTTATGGGTTTTATAAGCCTAGATCACTAGATGTATCCAATACATACTTTTTAATTTTTATAATCAATAAAATATTAGGTGTTTGATTTTTTTTTATTAATCTACCGATATCTAGGAGTATTCTTATGTATTGAAATAGAAAAGGGAAAAAGTAAAAATGTATCTTTAGGAACAAATTTACTCTTATTGATTTTAAATAAATAAAAAATATATTTAAAATACTAAAAATAAATTAATGAGTATTTTGAATTTGGTTATTGAAAAAAAGTAAAATACTATTTCGTGTTGAATGCTTTTTACGTAGTATTATTTTTGTATAAATTTAATACTCCATTTATTTTAAAACTCTATCATTAAAAAATGTGTTAGAAATTACAAATTTAAAAAACATTTTACGCTCACCTTTTATTTTAACAATATCAAATTTTGGTGTAAAAATAATCAGGAAGCATTGATCAGAAAATGATTTTTTTTTATTTTTTAATTTTAATTTTCCAAATTCAATAATTAAAACATTTTACTAGTTCTAGTTTGGTGGGACCAGGAACAAATTGGATTTGGGCTAGCACCGTCATACTGGACCAGTTTTTGGTGGAACCATAAAGAACAATATGTTGAGCAAACTAACTGGCTGGTCCCAGTTCGGCTCGGATGTAAGTAATACTCCGTATTACGTATGAATTTTTTAGGCCATTCATATGAAGTTCGTTGTTATTATAAGTCGATGAAAACGTTTACGCTATAAGTGTGCTTTTCTAATCAAAACGTGTACATGAAAGCTCTTTATGAGATACTCCTAAGATACATGGACATTGTATGCCTGGAAAAAAATCTATAAAAGTTCTAACTTACGGTATGACCAATGTCTGGTCAATGAATAACTCACATCTATCAAAATCTAAGCTAATCTGGTTAAATATGCTCCGGTCAGAGACTGAAATGAGTGAAATCAAATATCAATCCAAATAAAAACATCTTCATTTGTACATGATCTCAAATAATTACACCCAATGTTTTACACCCAGCCCGAGTCCATCCCTAGTCGAAGACAGAAATTAATTTTTTCAATATTTTTGTATAAATATGATTAGTAATGTTGTGTTTGTGTGTATCAAAATAATACACACATACATATTTACATGCATAAATGATAGAGTGGTCACATTCAAATATTCAATTAGGGTTGGACTCGGGCCGGGTGGCCCGACCCGGAATCGGCCCGGGACCGATACTGTTCCGGCCCGGGACCGGTACTGTTCCGGCCCGGCCCGAACCGGTGGCCCGGTCAGTGACAGGTCTGGGTAGGCTTGACCCGGTGGGTTTCCGGTCCGGGCTCGGGTCACCCATAACAAGGCCCGGCCCGGCCAGACCCGTGCCCGGTTTGGGCCAACTTTATTTTTTTTGGGTTTTTTCATTTGTTTGGGCTCCACCGGGTTGGGCTTGATGTTTAGGAGGGGTTTGGGGGTTTGGGGGTGGGGGTGAGGGGGGTCAGGGATGGGTAGCTATGCAAAAAAAAATAACCAAACCCGAGGCCCGGGCCGGTCCCAGGTCCAGCTATATAGAACCGCCGGCCCGACTGAGCCCGACCCAGCCCGAGTCCAACCATACATTCAATAATATATTATACCTACTCATTTAACTTCACCATGTACTAAATATTACGAAGTATGAAATAATAATAACACTTCAGTATATACATAAAATTGTATACTCCCTCCGTTCCTAAAAATTCTTCCCGGTTTGACTTGGCGCGCTTATTAAGAAAGTGGAAATGTATGGTTGTGGTTGTGTAAGAAAAAGGTAAAATGAATGTGAGCCACACAAATTGTCCAAAATGGGAAAGTGGGAAGTATTTTTGGGAACAACCCAAAAAGGAAAGTGGGAAGTATTTTTGAGAACGGAGGGAGTAGTTTTTATCTTAATGACTTAATGTACAACTATTAACTAGTAGCTTTTTTCATATGCATTGTTAAAATTAAAGTTACATCTCTTAGAATACTAAAATAAAAAAGCAAAATAAAATGTTCGACGAATCTAGACACCTAGGCAGCCGATTAAGCTCTCTGCTCTCTAGGCGGGCAACTAAGTGTCCTAGATGGCCAACTAATTCACCTAGATGCCAAATCAATTAATAAGAGCACCTAAACTAAAATCGGGCGCCCGACAACTGCCTAGGCGGGATCCTCCGGGATTAGTCCGACACTTGATTACATCTGATTACGACCGAGTAAACTAGAGGAACTAGAGAGTAGAGACGCTGCACAACAAAAATATTCAATAAATGCAATCGCATTGTTTGGTTAATTCATCAACTAATTCCACCTAAAGGTGGAGCTGATCCCGTTCCAGATCCAAAGGAGGCCTTACTCCAAAGGTGCCGGAAAAAAAGGGGCTGTTGGTTCAGTTAAGGATTTCCAGATATGAACTATGAGTAATTTTAAGCCTGTTTTAAAGGGAAAAATAAAATCCAGAAAAAAGAACAGGCCAATTGCCACCCCTCCAGCCCGGACCTATGATGTGGTGTTGTTGCATTCCTATGAGTATGTAACCGGAGATAGTGCCCGCCACCTTTCTAATACTGCTTTTAGGCTTGGTAAGGTTGGCCCGACCAGCCAGACTCGAGGACTAAACCTGAGCAGACCTGAGCATTGCCTGACGACACCAGACACCCTAACACAACACAGCATGAGAGTTAAAACCCAAAGAACTAAAGGCCATTCATACAATGTTAACACAACAATAAGTTCATATGGTACGTTTCTCCTTTCAACTCTATTAGGTCTAGTTGTCAATGAGAGAACTCAGAGAAGCTGGTGTGTTACATCTCCCCGCATTCAGCAATAACACAAGGCAATTTTGGCCTGTTATTTGGTCCTGTAGCCACATTCTCGATCTTCCTCATCACAAAAAGACCATCGCCAAGTACTCGCTGTACAAAAGGAGTAAAATAAATATACTACTATAAACTAAAAAGAGACTAGTCTATACAAAATAACCATTTTATTTAAAGAAAATAGAGTAACAAGTGAGAAAAAAATATCACATCATATGTTTCTTATCTTCCTTTTTTCAATTAAGAAAATAACTGCATACCCCAAAGACAACGTGTTTGTTATCGAGCCAGTCACATTTCGCACAAGTGATGAAGAACTGCAACAAACAAGGAATATCATTCTTCTCATTCTTCAATACATGTATAGAAAATGAAATTTGTATTTCTTGTAGAAAGAATAGAGAAGGATTTGAAAACATATTATTTGATTTGAAGGAATGAAACTAAGAGGAGACCAAATTCCAGTGTTTGATATACACAGGAATAGATTACACTAGAGTATGAAAGGGTCTCAATTTCACACTGCAGAGTTTCAATTCCACTAAATTAAAAACAAAAACAAAAGGATGACTTAGGAATTGCAACCCCTCAAAAACAGAGGAGCTATAACTCAACCAAAAAACAATTATCAATCGAGTAGTGCATTTTTCTTTAACTTTTTGGGAATTACAGGGAAGACTTGCTCCTTATACACCCTTGTGGTGGGACCCTCACCTTGCGGGGAAACCAATGTGCACCGGGCCGCCCTCTTAGGGAAAAGAGTGGCAGCCCTCCCCCCAAAATTCCACCTGCCTAGCAGTCAGTTGGTCAGAAAGTCCTCTAAAGTGTAACTATCCCTTAAAATCTCTCAGGTGGCATACTTCATCATTTCATCATTTTCTTTTACCCCAGTGCCGCAAAGGCTCCCACCTACGGTGGGGTAAGGGGGGGTCGGATGTACGCAGTCTTACCCCTGTACTAAAGCACAGAGATACTGTTTCCGGATGACCCATAGTGAAAAGCGCGTCCAAGATTGCATGGACTGACTGCTGCTCCATAACAAAGAAGCGCAGACAGTTTAGTGAGCCATTTTGCTTTATTCCATCATAATCTCAAGCCAAAAAATAATGAATCTTTGGCTCCATTGCAAATGATGGAAAATCAGGTGGCATACTTGAACTAAAAAATTGATAACTAAGAACCGTCTCCTCTAGGCATACCTGACAACCATTTGTATTTGGCCCACTATTTGCCTGCCATAAAAATGAATTATAAGTTCCAGTCCATTAATCACATATTGTTCTATACAGAGTAACATATAAAGCACCATACCATAGATAATAAACCAGGACCAGTGTGTTTTGCAATGAAGTTTTCGTCATCAAATTTACTACCATATATTGATACACATCCACTTCCATCGTTCTACAAAGTAAATCAAGCAGAGGAATGAGCAAAAGCAAAGAAAATAACTCAATAAACTCATTTGCAAAATATCAGCAACCAGTATGCAGGAGTTTTAAAGCACTATAAACATAAAAGTTCAAAATACTGGGTAGAGATATTAGGGGTGTATGTAGGAAACTCTAGTGTCTGAGATGTACAGTCTTCAGTGTACTTTGTGGTTGTTCATATGTAATCAGTGTGATGGGCCAAAATGACTAGCTGTTTTTACTGTGTACCTATCATTGTTAGAGACATTTGATGTGTGTATCTATGCTCGTGGAGAGTGTGTTTGTAGAGACAGGAAGATATATAATGAGACAGATATGAAGAGCAACCTTAAGATAATCACCACCTTGAATCATAAAATCCTTAATCACCCTATGAAACTGAGAATTCTTATAACCTTGTGGAATTCCAGCTTTCCTGCAAAATTTAAATTTAAGTTAAATAAGAGAACAAACACAAAAGTGAAATGAAAATAATAGGACATCTATAGCTTTTTCCGTTTTTCGGGGCCCTAGACAATTGGCCAACACTTGATATTGAAATATTATCTTCACATCTTTTCTATACTAAAAAAAACTTTGATCCTGTTCGTTAACACCTATTTTCGGCTTATGAGCAAACTTTTTTACAAAACACGTAACTTTTGATTTCAAACACTGATTTGTGTAATAATCAAAATAAGTAAGGCTAGAGTTACTTTTATGGCTGAATTTGCTATATTGTTGAAGATGACTATTTTAGTTATTTTCATCTCATTTGTATATTAATAAAATATATATTAAATATAATTGTTTTACAATTCAGCATATTCAATCAATTCAGCCGTTTCAAAACAAATTTCATCAATTTCAACTAGGGGTGAGCAAATAACCGATTTAACCGACCTGACCGAAAACCGATGACCGAACCGACCGAAAAAATCGGTTTTCGGTCAGTTTTCGGTTATAATAAAATAAAAAGAATCGGTTATTCGGTTTTTATTCGGTTATATTTATCGGTTATCGGTCGGTCACCGATAACCGTCCAAAATATATAAGTATATATACTCCATAGTAGAGTAGTCTTCCTGTCCGGAATTCCGGACAGGAACCGCCGTCCGGCCAACGGATTTTGGGGCTCTTCCCGGTGGAGTTTTTTGATGAAATTTTTATGGCATGTTCTTCATTAATTTTAGTTTATCCACAAAAAAATTCAGCTAAATATTCCATCGGGAAGGTTGTCAAATGATTTTTGGAAGTTAACTGCGCTAAAAAATACATATAAAACGCAGTTAACTTCCAAAAATCATTTGACGAGCTTCCCGATGGAATTGTTTGCTCAAATTTGGTATGGATGAACTAGACTTGATGAAGAACATGACATAAAAATTTCATCAAAAAATTCCACCGGCCGATTATGGTCGGTTATGGTCGGTTATTCAGTTACCGACCGAAACCGAATGACATTTTTCGGTCGGTTTTTGTAATGTTGTCGGACGGTTTTCGGTCGGTTATTTGAGTAAAAAATATTGGTCGATTCTTCGGTTATCGGTCGGTTATTTGACCGACCGACCGAATGCTCACCCCTAATTTCAACAAATTCAATTGATTTGTCACTTTCAATATTACCAGGCGAACTCTTCACCTGCACCATTTTATTAAAAAAATGTAAATCTAAATTTAAGAACAATTTCTGATTAACCTTCTTTTTACATATTTTGAAGGCATACTACTTTTTTTCTCTTTAAAAATTACAATTGCTAATTAGATGGGCTTAAACCGAGTAGGTGAATTACCTGTGCTCGCCTGTGCAAAATTGCCTGAAAATAACAATAATTTAAGGTTAAGAATAACATTGTTCACAGCAAAGTAATACGTAATAGTATAAGACATTAAGACTAGAACCAATGAGTTGTTATAACGTGGGATCATCTCATGGTGAACATCCTACTCCCACATATAAAATGGTGTCGTTTAGGTTTAAGCTTTAATTTAACAGAATTCACGTGAACAGTACCCTTACATTTGTCTAATTTTTTTTCGTGATGTAAATCCTTTGTATTGATATGTAACTCGTGTTATTGTAAAATGTAAATCCAGTGTTTTCAAATGTAACTCACGCGCTGGAGAATGTAACTTGTTGTACTCAATTTTTTGAAAGAGTAACTTGTTTTACTCTCTCAACTTGTTATATCACTTGAAATATAGTTTTTATTTTTATACTACCTCCGTCCCTCAAAACTTTGCCAAGTTTGACCGACACGGGGATTAGTAAAGTAAAAACTGTGTGGTTGAGTTTTGTGCAGAGGAGAGAGATTTAACTGGAACCACAAATTGTTTACTTAAAAGGGAAAGTGGTAAAGTTAGTGTGACATCCAAAAAAGGAAAGTTGGCAAAGTTTTAAGGGACGGAGGGAGTAAAAAGTATTTTTATAAAAATCAATCTATATTTTTTATTTCTATAAAAATGATTTTTTATAAAAATAATTTTTCTTTGAATAGAAGGAGCTTATTTTGTTGTGTAACTCGCATTATATTGTGGTGTAACTCGCAGTATGAAAAATGTAAACTGCGTGCAAGTGTGATGTAACTTGGTGAGAAAAGTTTACATGTAACTCACATTGATAGATATGTAACATGAGATAAATGGAAATGTAAACCCTTTTAATAAAAATGTAACTTTTCTTAGATAGCCATGGATGATCATCCCTGCAGAAACTTGAACAAAAAACTTGAAAAAATCGGAACCCAATCCCATACAGAAACCCAATCACCGGCGTTCTTGCCGGTGAGTCATGGGTCTGCTACCAAGGCGGCAGATAATAATAGTTGTGCTCAACCTAGCGTTAATAATAGATCCTCCTCCTGCAGCCAAGGCGGCAGATCCTATATCCAGGCGGAAAATTCTAGGCTTGTGAGCTCCGGTAACTGTCTATACAGGAGGATTCGTAGAGCGAAGAATTCCAGACTTGTGGATTGAGGAGTATATACGATACATGAGGATTTGTAGAGCGAAGAATTACTGGCTTGTGGATGGAGTATATACATCATACGAAGTATATACTAAGTATAGTAAATGAATTTGATTGAGCATGGAGGTTCAGGAGGATTCGTATCACTGAAGAATTGGTTTCTTGGCTGCAGGGACGGAACATATGCCGGAAAAGATGATGAGTTTGTGCGTCTCTGTTTTAATTAATAACAAAACGACAGTGTTTGGGATTGGCACACCATGCACATGGTGGGCTGATCCCACGGTATAATTTGAGAGAACCAATGTACCATATACTTGCCCTAAATTAAAGGCAACTTTAATCAGTAAAACTAACACTAGCAATCAATGCCCTTCTTGCTGATAATTAGTTACCCCTACTCGAATTCACAAGGCACAGTTTAATCTCACAACATAAGAATAACGCGGATAAACAAAAACTACAAACTACTGAGCAAAGCGAACAATAAAGTTGAATGTCGAATATTGAACTGGAGCTGCAAGTGGTAGCATTGCTAGGGTTTGGGATTGATTACGAGTGGCAGTTGCGAATCGGGGATTATTTAAGGTTTTAGATTGACCTGAAGTTTTCAGCGGTTTTGGGAGCAATGTCGGCGAAGAGCTCCATCTTGATACGACCAGCAGGGATGCTACCGATGGTTACGTCGAAGAAGACGATAGGATTCTTATGAGATTGAGGCCTTATGTGCCACTCAACCCCTGACCCAACTGTTGCCGCTCCTCCGACACTTCCTGTTCCGCCGCCCGAAGCCATCTGGTTTCAGTAATTCAGTCACGCAACCAAACCCAGAGAGGAGAACCGCGAATACTGGAAAAAACAGCTTCTTTGATGAAATGGCATTTTAACATTTTAATAGAAATAATGGTAATGTTTTTAAATTTTCTAGTTTGAAGTAATAGTTTGAAGTGTATTTTATAACTATTCAAATCTAATCTGCTCTGGTTTGGTTTAGTTTGGTGACTTTGATCCAATTTAATTTGATCTGTGACTGAAAACAGTTCAAGTAAAAACATTTTAACATTTCATTTTATGATTTTTTCAATCAATATTTTATATTGTTGTTGTAATTATTATTATTTCTTTCATGGTTGTATTTTAAAGGAGTGTTTTGAAAAAAAAACACTTTTTTTTTCAATTTTTGACCTCAGAAAACTTGAAATAAGTATTTTTAAGTGACAATATTTATTTAAATTAAGACTTAGGGGAGTCAGATTTTAAAGAAATTTAGAATTCGGTGACAATTTAAGTGTCTCCAAAATAGATTTTTAAAGTCTCCTTTGAATCTAAAATCTCCCACCATTCTAAGGAGTTTTTTTTTTTTATTTGGGTCGATTTTGATGAATTTCGTATAAAAAAGAATGCCCAAACCATTGAGCAGAGTTTCACTCTCACTCCTCGGATTTGTAATCCATAAACTCTCTCCAAATGTCGACTTTTTACGCCTCTCAGAAATTGAACGAGAGGCGTAAAAACTTCATAAGAGAACTTGACAAAAACTTACAACTCGATCTATTGATTTTTCTAGTTCCTACCAAAATTGGTATGAACTCTGGGTTTAGCCATTTGATTTACATCCATCCTTTGCCCCTCCCCATATCTACTAGCATCCAATTACAAGAGTCGGAATCTTTATTTGTGATTTATTATCCCGCATAAAAGTAGAAATGTAATAATTTTCATGTCTAGAATCCACACATAGTATCCCACCATCATCTTTCGGAATTTTCGTATCATGTGTCAATGATTTCCTAATCAATTGATACACAAATATCTGTGTAGATGCACTCCAATACCCCTATCTACATGAGCAATCATAAACTACACGTGAATTATGTAACAAAATTCAAAATAGAGAACTGGTTAACGAAACTTGTAGGGGCAACTCTTTCGGCATCTTCTTCTCACATGTCCATGGCCCATCATGAAGGACTCATGTCATATCGGCTTTGTGGTCAAATGGAAGAGATGTCTTTTTGTGATTTCATTTGGGATGTTTGCTTGACTCTAAAACAAGAAAACGTTAAAACACAGGCCTTTTGACACCAATCCTGAAATCTCAAGATCATAGGCCTTCATTTTTCGTGTTTTAATGGATTTTCTTGATAGTTATTTATGCCTTTATAGGCCTTTCTTAAGATAATTGTTCATATCAACACAATATCTTACAATAATATATTTGCTTTTTATATTTAATGATCTTATAAATATGTTCATAGTTTCTATATCTGGACATATAAATTATTTGTATATATGATAATGTGGTCATATTTATATTTAGTTGTCGTATGAACTGACTAACGTCAATTGTACAAATTAGGACAAGTAGAGATGTATGGATGCATCACCGGTGTTTTAGAAATAAGACTAGCAGATGTTACTGTCTTTTGTTAACACGAATAGCTATTTATATCTTTTTATACCATTGGTTGCTAATATACATTATCGTCACCACAAAGATGATACAATCTGACAAACTTGTTGATGATTATCATATACTATCTATATAGTATCCAATTTCAAGATTTATGGAGCCTTTATCAATATCTTTTTATCAAGCAGCTCTTCACATCTTATTCTATTATCTAAAAGATATTCATCCTTTTCTTACAAAATCTAACTAACTTCTCTTGTTGACAACTACAAGTTCCTCCTAGTTACTATTATCTCTATCTTCTCTCCACATGCTATAACTGCATAAAGTTTACTTTATTATCCCACATATGGGAAAGTATTATATACTTCCTCTGTACCTCAACAGTTTTCTAGCATGAAATATATATAAGAAAATAAAAAAATGTGTAATGAAAAATATCCTCATAGCGCTTTTTAAAAATACAATAATCATAAGATTCTTAATTTGAATTGTCAAATGTAAAAGGTGTTAAAAAATATTGATGATGAAAGTATCTTTTCTAAAGATTTAAAAAAAAAAGTTATGGTGACAATAATGTTGTACAACACGACACAAAAACTAACCTTATTATTAAAATAAGAGATGACTATACACAAGAAAGCAGCTCAAAACCGGTCTATGAGTTCACCAACTTATTTTAACCTTGATGATCCATATACTTCCAGACTTTGTTTGTCCAAAGTCACACAATAATATTGGTCACTCTACCAATTTTCTAAACCCAAAAGATCCCCTGACCTTCCATTTTGTTGGGTTCAACCACACTTTCCTCCAAAACTCACATCGCTTTTAACTCTTCCCATGATGACCCCGAGAGCTGGCCATTGAACATTATAAGGCATCATGTTTAGAAACTACCTCACCACCAAGTTTTGATTTAAGGTCCACGAACCGTGTGATAGAACTCAACTCACATTTGCCACGTGGAATATCATGTTCGTTCAATATCCTTTAACATGACCCCTTTAGATGGGCACCAATTTGCATCTATGGTCTCATTGGAAAATAAAACTAGACGGTAATCTTTGATGTCGCGTCCCTATCAGCGTGAGGCCGAGAGCTCCCCCTGTATTTGTGCTTATCTATAAAACTGAGCCCTTCATCTTCGTCAATTGAATTCATATTGTCATGCAATTCCAATTATGTATCCACATTCTTATTCTAAACTGCTCCCCCCTCCCAAAGTTATTAGAATTAGCAGATAAATTCAAGTGTGACACCATTTACCGAAAGTAACTCACACAAAACCCAACCCTATACGGAGGTGCTTAGTAATCTATTTTGTAGTTTACCAACTATATTAGTAAATTTTTATCAAACACTGGTTTTTTTATTTATCAATTACTGATTCATGTGTTTATTTAGTATTATACGATTCGTGAATAGTACAATAATATGTACATTTGTTTATAATATGATACAATTATATAAAACACGGCTAAATATATGTTTCATCGTTCACGAAATGAATAAATACATGACGTGTTTTAAACGTTTCACAATTTAAAAATACGACATATAATACATGTATTATATACTAATTTAATGATAGAATTCAAGGATAATTTAACATATGCACCACATCGCATTCCTCAACAGTTTAAAATGTACAAAATAATTATTTCAGATATACAAATTTGAATTCATAGGTACAATAAGTAATAGAAATGACATTGCGCATTAGAGTAGATGAATTTATATGATGCTTTTTATAGTATACGATAGTTTTGAAATCGTAAAAAAAGTATATTTGAAAAAAATGACAAGGGGATAAATTGAGTCTAGTAAAAGTGTGCGGACAGTTGAAAATTGGGACCCATGGAATTTTTTGTCCCAAGAGTTTGGTGGAAGACAGAAAGCTGAAAGGAAATTGCTGCCAGTTTCATTTCTTCATTAGCACTTTTACCACCACACCGTTAAAGCTCACATTTTTCTCAATTGCTTCGTGCACTGCTCTTTCCGGTGAGTTTTATCGTCTGATCAATCTTCCAACACGCCGATCACCACCGGAGCACGTTATGGATAAATGTGTCACGGATGATTTCCTCAAGGAATAGTAAACCCTATTTCAGTCTTTTTGTATGCATATCTTTTGTTCATCTATTTGGTTTTCTTGCTCTGAACGCCTGAACTACAATTTAAGATCCGAAAATTCAAACTCGTGTATAGAATCTCAAGGATATCGGATCGTTTGTTGAATTGTTGGACAGTGTTACCATGTTGTCATAGGGTTCTGGCGAGATTTTCACTCTGGCCTCTGCTGGGATTCAATATGCAAAAGAGTGGGAGTCTGTCCAAGAACAATTCTCTGAAGTTGGTTGCATCTCCGCAGTCTCTCCGTCGTCTTGGCCTCTGCTCTCAGATATCCACAGGGCAGCATTCGTCTCCTGTTGTCTTCCCGGAAAAACGAAGCAAAGGGAGGAGGTCCGCCCGTACGGACGACGACGCTATCAATACGAGTGACCAAAAGAAGGATAAACGAGATGAACATAGGCTTGACATGGGAGATGAGAATTCTGATCTCTTAGGATACGGTGTTTTTTCAGGAAAACTAGTTTTAGACAAGAAAAAGGATGGTAAGAATGGTGAAGTGGACTCCCCCAAAGAATCGAAAGGTCAAATTTCCCTTGATGCTAAGCTCACTAGCAAAGCCATGATTTGGGGCTCTGAAATGCTAGTTTTAGACGATGTTATCTCAGTAAGCTCAATTCAGCTAGACTTCAATAAGGAGTATTTGTTTTTCTACATTTCTAGGATTTGAACTGTAACGGTTTCCTCAATTCCTACAGGTTTCATACTGTCCCAATCTCAGGCATTTCACAGTTCATTCTTATCCCCATAAAACTGGTTCTTGTGGGCTTCTTACCTGTTTGTTGAAAGCGAAAAGAAGCCGAAAGGATTTCCGCTTTGTTGCTTCAACTCCAGAGGAGGCCATTCAGTGGGTTAGTGCATTTGCCGACCAGCAGTGCTATGTGAATTTGTTGCCTCATCCTCTGGGCTCATCAATGAAGCCAAGTACCGAGTTATTTAGTAATACATTTCCACCTGAATCATACATAAGATGTAAAAATCCACCTAAGATGCTTGTGATACTGAATCCACGGTCTGGACGTGGTCGTTCAACTAAAGTTTTCCATTCAATGGCTGAGCCTATATTCAAGGTAAGTCCGGGTAGTATCTGACAAAAGCTCCTATTGAAACTTATTTGCAAAATCTCTCATTGATAATCTAATACCATTGAAGAAATGCATCTTTTGCCATTTTTGTGACCCATTAAGTGTGCCACGCCCCACATCAACATTAAATTTCCAACTCTCTTTGAGGGTTCAAGTGGAAAAACGAGTAGATTGATTATAGTTGTTTTTGGGTTTTTTATTTGTATGAGTGCTTGTGTAGATCCCTTGTACTTGTGTTTGCTAATTTATTTCTCTTCATGATATATATCTGTTTTTATGGATGTCAACTATAATAGCTTGCTGGGTTCAAGTTGGAGGTGGTGAAAACAACGTCTGCAGGTCATGCTAGGCAACTTGCATCAACTGTTGACTTCAGCACATGCCCTGATGGTAGGTGCTGTTTTTTTGTTCAATGTAGCCGAATTTGTGTTTGATGATTTTTTTTAAATCTTATTTTCCTTTGATTTTGAATATGAACATATAACTTACAGGTATTATATGTGTTGGAGGTGATGGAATTGTGAATGAGGTAAGTAGTTAACCAACATTTTTTTCTGTTATGTTTTTTACCAGTATATGAAGCTCCTGGAGTGCTTATTTTGGGATTTCTGACAGCACATTTCTCGATCAATCTCACATTGGAATTCTCTTAGTTGATTTATTCCATTGCTTCATCTTTCTGTCCTCCAAAGGCATTTCAATTTGGCCCTGAAATATAGAGATTATATGCTATGTGATGAGGCAGGACTTGATTCTAATAAACTAATTGGATTGATTTTCGATTTTGAGTTGAATTACAAGGAATACGATAAAAACATATTTATGGTTACATAATATACCCAGTTATCTGGAATTAGATTCCATGTTTTTCTGGAGGAGGCATGTGACGCCTCCTATTCTGAAATTGATAAAATATGGAAATGAGGGAGCTCTTGGGAGCCCCCTATCCAAACACAGGAGTAAGCTGTGATGCCCTGGAATTCATGGCCTATCCAAACAAGGCTTTACTTTTAATTCGTTTATATTGTTGGGCAATATTTTAATATCTGTTTCTTTTGGCGGCTTTCCGGTATGCTTGAATTTATAATGTGGAGTGTTAGGAATGTCTTTTAGTCCTTCTGTTGTTACAAATGCTAGTCCATTTTTGTATTTCTAGGCGGCTATCTTGTTCTTTTCACTGTCAAGTCAAAAATATGATTAAGTTATACAATCATTTTTATGTTTTTAATGTGTGTGGAGTGTGCATATTGCTGGGTCTGGACTTAAGACTAAACTAATTGTTTTCTCACATGATTCTATGCAAACTGCAGGTCTTAAATGGTTTACTTTGCAGGGATAATCAGAAGGAAGCTATTTCTATTCCAATTGGAATCATACCTGCTGGTTCTGATAATTCCTTGGTTTGGACCGTTCTTGGTATTAGAGACCCGACATCTGCTGCAATAGCAATAGTCAAGGTATAAATTAACCACGTGGTGAAAATTTGTTGTTTGCTCTCATGCCTTTTATGACTATATGCAATGATTTAATGTGGCACTGTTGTATTTACAAATGACCCCCACCCCCAATAATTCATTTGGAACTCATTAGATACCCGAGTGGAATAGTGAGTAAAGCATACTGGAAAAGTGGAATGGTTTACTTTGCAGGGATAATCAGAAGGAAGCTATCTCTATTTTATCTTTTTTTTTTATCTTTTTATCATACCTTATCTTTTTTTCTTTCTTATCTTTTTTCCCTTTTGGATCGGATATCATGTATTGCTTCATGTTAGCCGAGCCCAAAATCTTTTGGGACTAAGGCTTGGTTGTTGGTTGTTGTTGTTGTTCTTCATACATGTTTTATTTATTTATTTATTTATTTATTTATTGGTGAATTTGTGATGTATAAAAGACCATGAGATCTATTTTATTTTGTAAAATGTAAACCTAGGCATTTTCTAATGTAATCCTAAATCCTAAACATAAGAAAATCTGTTTCTTATGTTTCTCTTGCTCTAGCGTCTTCCCTGATCCGAACATATCCAAAGGATGATGACTAAGCAAACTGTGGGGCAGTTCTAAAACTGTCTCTCCAGTTTGTATCGTATCTATCTTAGGGTTTTGTTTGTTTATTTGTGACTATCCCAGTTTAGAGAAACTATGTTTCATCTCCTTCAACAGCCTATCGTGGGAGGAACATACATCTTAGGCGGTATGAGTTGTCCTGCCCTAGCTCTGTCCGTCCTTTACTGTTGTGATTAACACTGTCGAACCAATTCTTGTTGAGCTTATTGTACCACTTCATGAATTATCATATGATACCTAATTGATTGTCTGCATTGTTCACTGCTTAAGCCCCTTGGCCATAGCTTTAGCAAAAGCATTGGAGTACATATTTAGTTTCAGTCTATATTAAATATTGTTTGTTGAATTAATACTTCAATATATGAGTACTCTGTGTGAAACTATTGTTTTTTATAGATGTGGTCTTTTATGTCAAGAGGGTATGTAAAGAAATGGCTGGGGTGCATAAAGTTACATTCATATGCAATGCATCGTGATTTGTGCATTACATTTTGAACCCACTCAGCCATTCACTTAGGAAGTTGTTTGTATACAATAATATTTTTATGACCAAATTTACATTTTGCTTTCTCATAGTAAAACTATTCTTCTGAAACAGGCGACTAACTTTATTCGGGACCATTTTGCACTTAAATGAGTTCTTTCTCCTTTCAGGGAGGTCTTACTGCAACTGATGTTTTTGCTGTTGAGTGGGTTCAAAGCGGTCAGATTCACTTTGGCACGACTGTCTCATACTTTGGCTTTGTTAGTGATGGTTAGTCTTTTTCTATATTTTCCTCATAAATAGTACTCCCAGTTCTCTACACGGATATATAGATAACAAATAATATGTGTTCAACCTTCCAATTTTACTGTTGTACAAATCATGAAAACTTGTGCATATGGCCCCTTATGACATTATGTCAGTTCTAGTGTAGTTTTTTGTTTCACATTTTCAATAACATATATTTTCCTGATATTCTTCTTTTCTTGACTAAAATGATTTTCCTCATATTTGTTAAAGTGCACAAGTTTCTTCTGGTCTCAGATATTTCAAAGTTTGATGTGTAGCTAATTACTTTTTCCAATATTCTATTCATTTTTTCATTTTTTGTTTATCAAGGGAATGTATATTTAACTATTTTTTGCACTTTATGATTACTCTGTCTTATTATGCACCTGTAGTTTTGGAACTTTCTGAGAGGTATCAAAAACGATTTGGCCCTCTGCGCTATTTTGTTGCCGGTTTCCTCAAATTCCTCTGTTTACCGAAGTACAATTTTGAAGTGGAATATCTTCCAGCATCCAAAGAATCAAATCATGATGTGAAACATGAAGTCATTGATATGTCTGAACTGTACACAGACATCATGATGAGATCAAGCAAGGAAAGCCCCCTTCCCCGAGCTTCTAGCTTCTCGAGTATTGACTCAATAATTTCCCCTAGTCGAACAACAGATTTGGATACTACTAACTGTAGTAGCACCACCGAGCCTTCTGATTTTGTGCGCGGAATAGACTCAAGGTGTAAACGGTTATCTTCCGGAAGAATCAATATCTCAATCACTGAACCAGAAGTCATTATCCATCCTCAACTTCCTCTTTCGACAACTCCAAAGCCCAGAACCAGGTCAAAGTCAAGGGCAGCAGATAAGGGATGGAATGGATTAACCGCCACAAACGATTCCACTAGATGTTCTTGGGGAAATATGACCATGAATGACAAAGAGGATATTTCATCCACAATATCTGATCCCGGTCCGATTTGGGATTCAGAACCAAGATGGGACACTGAACCTAATTACTGTTATGCAGAAAATCCTCTTGAATTACCTGGACCTCTGGAAGATACCGTGGGAGTTGATCCAAAGGAGATTCCTATTAAGCCTGAAGAGAATTGGGTGTCTTCTAAAGGCCAATTTCTTGGTGTCTTGGTTTGCAACCATGCATGTAAAACTGTTCAGAGTTTAAGTTCTCAGATTTTGGCACCTAAAGCTGAGCATGATGATAATATGTTGGATTTATTAATGGTCCGTGGAAGTGGAAGGCTAAAGCTTTTGAGGTTTTTGCTGCTTCTGCAAATGGGCCGACATATTTCACTGCCGTATGTTGAGTATGTTAAGGTAAAGTAATCTGATTATATTCCTTACCCCATTCGTGTTTTTGAATGTATGATTGTGAACAATCTCACATGAAAATAGGTTATAATTTGTCTTCTTTTATTTTTGAAAATTGCTAGACTTTAGTGTATGTATTGGCCTAACATGGTGGTGATCTATGGCTGACTATATAGGATGCTCATAAATAATTAACCATTTCATGTCCTCTGAGCTATGTATGAGTTGAAAAATGGGTGTCATTTAAGGAGGAAGAATGTCCTTTTTGAGTTGATAAAAACACCTATTTAACAAACCTGCCCCAATTTATTTTTAGGCATACAATGCAATGAAAAGTAAGCATAACAGTGGGTTGAAGCAATTGGCAACTTAGTCATTTTAGTATGTCTTATTGTTGTATTTGGGTTTCTTTATAGTCACTTATTAATGAACAAAATGTATTTCCTTAATGGACATATGCATCAGAACTGAAGGAATATCTATTACCTGCCTTAGGATCAGCCAACTACACACAACACAACTACCAATGTCTGATACATATTCCTTGTTCCAATTTTTATTTGTTTCAATTTCTTTTCCGTCCCAAATAATGCACACATTTTGAATGTAAACACTACCGTATTATTACTTTTCCCAAATCATCTTAATTACTTTTCTACTCCCTCCGCCCCCTATAATTGTCCCATTTTTTCATTTTTGGATGTCCCCCTGTTATTGTCCCATACCATATTTTGTAACATTTGTGTGACTCTAATTCATTCTTACTTTATTCTCACTTTATCAACTCCTTATCAACCACATAATTCTACTTTTTTAAAAACCACACCACTCTCTTCCCTCCCAATATTAGGGGGACATAGGTAGTAACTTTTTAATATGGACACACTAAAAGTAATTGCTACATTTCATTTTTTCACTAAAAGCGCGCTAAGGTGATTGTTATATGATGTAACATGTCACTAATAATTGGGAACCTAGGAAACACATCATTCTCCAACCAAGACGAAGTTTGAGTGTCTTTTGTTGGCTAAGGATGTTTTTATTTGGACCGTTTTCAGTTCCAGATGTGACCAGACTAGACTTGGATATTTATAAAATACACAGAGATCAGACGTTTTCCAGACCAGACCAGAAAATTTCAGTCTAAGTAAAAACATCCTAAGCAGTTTATACTTTATATCACTTCATCAACTATTTGGAACTTTAGTTTCAAAAGTAGGTAGTAGAAGGAAACATTTACATAATTACATCCCTCATTAGGCGGTGCTATCTGAAAGTAGCCAGTAAAGGTAAGGGGTGAACTGAGTATAGTTCCGTTTTAAGACCGACCTGTTCCGGACCTCCGGTTCATCTTAAGGTACGAACGGGTGCCGGTAGTACATGTCCGGTTCCAGGTCGGATAGAACCCTCCGAAAGGTTCGACCGATCTTGGTCCCACAAATATTGTGGACCTGGTCCTGTTCGATCTTGGTCCCAAAAGGCTAAAAGCTGGCCAGTCCTGATCAGAAGCCGGGACTGGGTCCATCCATACTAATGGCTTACAAATAATTCTTTTCTGTTAGATTCCCCAATAGATGATTCCTAGTGCTTGCATTCTGCCAGTAGGTGACTTGTGGTTCTGGATAAATGGCAGGTAAAATCGGTGAAGTTGAAGTCAGGAAAGCGGACTCACAGTGGGTGTGGCATTGATGGCGAACTGTTTCCGGTGAATGGGACAGTCATTTCAACCATACTTCCCGAACAATGCAGGCTGATTGGCCGCTCGTCCCTCAATAAATAAAACATTGAAAGAGCTTGTACCGGCAATGGTTTTTTTATTCTTTCGACTTTTCGAGTTTGAGCACCCTCACCTGTAAATTTTAACGTTTCTTTTATTGTTCCATATGTTCATTCTACTCCTGCATTAGCTATATGTATGTATATGTGTCATTTGGTCTTCCTGCCCTCCACTGAATGTCTGAATGTAAGTTGGCTCTTTGTATTGAGATTTGAGAATGGATTAACACTTCTGTGTATGCACCAAACCTGTAAAGAATCTGATCTGTTGATCTCAACCCTGCTCACAGTGCATGTCGATCTTTTGATGATTTAACATTGCATCAAAAGCTTTTGGAAGACTTGGGCGGCGTGTTTGACCGTCCTAGTAAACATGAATTTGTTGATCATCGTCTTAGTTTTATTACTATATAAGTAACATGAGTATGTGACATGGCAAGTTTTTGTAAAGAGTTTTAAGAATGGATCTCAGATAACTTGACGATTTGCATTGTAGAAGCTTTTTCCAGCAAAATATGTTGGTTTTAAAAAAACAAACAAAGAACAATGATCTCTTAAATCTTAATCTACAAAAACAATTGATTAATTAACAAACTTTGTTTTTGGTAAAATCGAAATGCATAAGTCAGAGTGAGCAGAGAATCAGAGACGAGGGGTTAGAATAAGGTGCACCGTGCAAGTATGGTTTCAGGATGATACATAAGCTTTATTTCTATTTAAGGTTATTTCTCAATTAAAAAACATCAATCGAAAAGATTAGTAGGTGACTTAGATACATATTTTAAGATGGTTGTGACTAGGGTTGGACTCGGGCCACCACCCGGCCCGGAACCGGCCCGGGACCGGCACTGTTCCGGCCCGGCCCGAACCGGTGGCCCGGTCAGTGACCGGTCCGGGTAGGCCCGACCCGGTGGGTTTCCGGTCCGGGCTCGGGTCACCCATAACAAGGCCCGGCCCGGCCGGGCCCGGGCCCGGTTCGGGCCAAATTTAATTTTTTTTTGGTTTTTTTCATTTGTTTGGGCTCCACCGGGTTGGGCTTGATGTTTAGGAGGGGTTTGGGGGGTGGGGGGGTTTGGGGGGGGGGGGGTCAGGGATGGGTAGCTAAGCAAAAAAAAAAAAAATATTAACCAAACCTGAGGCCCGGCCCGGCCCCGGACCGGACCCGGTGGCTACCCGGGCCGGTCCCGGGTCCAGCTATATAGGACCGCCGGCCCGATCCGGCCCGAGTCCAACACTAGTTGTGACTTGTGAGTTGTGACTTGTGAGTTGTGAGGAAACGAACCTTGACTGCCTTCCCATTCGAGTTCATACTCACATCTTAATGATCAAATGAGAATTGCAACATACCAGTTTTCACAACTTATAGATTTCGCCATCCACATTATTTGTTGCCCACAACATAGATCCTCTGTAGTCTGTACATTACTTGATGACTATCTTGTGAAATCTTGACCTCCACAAACACCACACCAAACAACTGCCATTTCAAAGTCTCACCGGCTTAGCCGTAAAGAATCAAAGTAAGTTTTGAAAATAAATTACCTTTTAAGTCTGAAAATTGTTGATGCCTGTTAAAGTTATACATAATGATCTGAAAGATGAGACATGTTGTCATTTTCCTGATTTCAAACAAAGAACAACAGTAATGTATGAAAAGTAATCGCCTGACGAAGAGTAAAAAATGAAGAGTAAGGCAGAATAATAAGATATGAAGAGTGCAATTAAAATGTGAAGAACAACTTCAGTCTTGTTATGCAAAAATGAAGTAGTAGGTGCGTAGAACTGTAGAAGAGTTTAGAAGTTAAACACATTTGTTTACATAGGTACAAACAAGGTTACTTAGTAGAAGATGGACAATCAACCTACTTCAACTGAAGTCTCGTTGGATTGACATGTCTACAATTGCAATGCTATTGACATCATTTCTAAAATATCAACACAACCTATTGAAACTGCAATGATTGTACTTACTCACCTGACAAAGATGACTTAGTGACTTTCTTATGTCACAATAGTTATTTTTTATGTTTATTCATGGAAAACGGAGTTTTTATAAAATTCAGACTTAACTCTGTCACGATATTAAATCTTTAATTCGTCCTTTTAGAAAACTTTAAAATATCAAATTCAGGGTCTCAAAAAAACATACATCATATTTCAAAATGTGGAATTTTAGTCCACACTTTGAGAAATACCAAGAAGCATTAAATTAACTATTTACATTTACTTTATCATAATTGAAAGCGAAATAAAAATTCAAAACACTTGAAACTTCTTTACCAAAATGACTATTTTTGTGAATAAATGAAAGCAAACTATGGCAGTATATAAGTAAGTATACACATGTGTATATAGGAATATAGGATGCGTGAGTATGTAAATAAGGAAGCGTTAGAGGATACATAGATATATAAACATGCATACACATGTGTATGTATATACTTTGATGAACACATTAATGATTATAAAATACAACACATTATTTCTGTGGTCTGACTTTTTTATGAGCATGTCATAACCAAGTCTTTTCTCAATTTTGATATTATTACTACATAGCACATAATCCACAAAGTCACCACTTACGTAAAAGGGAGCCCATTCTTTGCCTTGACATTTCGATTAAATAACAACAGTACAAATAACTATTTGTGTTATTATACAATCCATACTCTTCATTTTGTTTATATCGAGTCCCAGAAAGTGATTTAAATAACTACAGTACAAACAACAACAACAACAATAATAATATATACTTTTTCATACAAACCATCTTTCTAGTCATACCAATATTATATATAATAAAAAATAAAATTAAATAAGGAAGAATTTGACTTTTCATCTCACTTTTTGGATGATATTGGATTTTTGCATCCCATTTTGTAAAAGATTTGACTTTGCACCCCATCATATAACATTTTGTGAACACTTTTTTTGAATGGGGTGCAAACTCAAAGGATTGAAATGAAGTGCAAATTCAAAGTTTTTTGAAAACGTGGTTTAAAGTCTAATATCATCCAAAAAGTGTGTTGTAAAGTCCAATTCTCCCATAAAATAACTATTTTTTCATTCATGTAGTATTAGTCGTTATTTTAAGTATGAAAAATTTGACAAATCATATAAAATGTAATAAAATAAAAAATAAAAGATTTGATTTTTTAAAAAATTAGACAATAATTGAAAAAGTTATAACAACTACAAAAATAAAAAGTACTAACATGCCACATGACAGCACCATAGGGGTGAATATCACCCTCAAACAGGTGAACATGTTGCCTTCCATTTGAATATCTTGTAGTCTAATTCAATTATTTTGAGAAAGTGGTTAAAAGTTATTCCATCCGTCCCACAAAACTTTTTAAACAGGAAAATGATAAGAATTTTTGAAATGTTCCAAAAAATTAAGTGATAAGAATTTTAAGCAAAGGGGTACCAATTAAAATTATGATAGTCTAGAAATTTACGAGGGAGTACTTATTTATTTATTTATTTATTTATTTATTTATTTATTTATTTATGGGATATTTACCTTTATAGGAGTAAATAAAAGGATAATTGCAACAATAGGAGTTTAAAGTTTAAATTTCCAAAATAGGACTAACTCTTCCTATTCTACCATTTCCTTTGTTCTTGATAATAAGATTTTTAAACAATCATTATAAAATATAAAAAAATCAAAATAAAAAAAATAAAAAATCGTAAAAAATAATTAAAAAATATATAGACCTCAACCACCACCTCAGCCACCTTCCAGTTCCGGCACCTCCGGTCGCCGGAACAGATTACCCAAGTTGGGGGGAAAATGTCATCATGATGGCAATTTTGAAGAGAAAGCAAGAGAAAGTCGTATATTTTCAAAGAGTAAAAATGCCATTTTTATGGCATTTTCAGAGAAATGTGGCATTTTTTACACAAGATGACATTTTTTCTTCGGTGATCGGAGTCAATGGTGCTGGGAGGTAGAGGGCGCGTTGGCAGTGACGTACATATTTTTTAAATATTATTTAGATATTTTATTTTATTTTTGGACCTTTTAATTTTTTTTAATAATTTATTTATTTATTTTATTTTTTTTATTTTTTATGTTATTTTTTCACATTTTCATTATTATTTTATAAATATTCTATTACTTTTTATATTTTTTATAAATAAAACTATGATTTTCTTATTAATAAAATAAATCTAATGAAAATTATAGGAAGAGAGTAAAATGGGAAGAAAAGACATATATTAATCATATTTTGAAAATAAAAGAAATGTACTCCTACTAAGGACTAATACCCGTTTATTTATTTATTTATTTATTTATTTATTTATTGATTTGACTAATTTTAAGATCCGCTTCCGCTAGTCGTGACAAGAGATCGGATAGGTTCAGAGACCGCTCCGGTTCTTACTCTGTCTCTCTAAGCACATGAGTGGAGCTTTCTGGTTTCAATCAATTTACCATATCTTCTTCTTTGACATTTTGATTTTTAATTAATTTCTTCCGTAGATTATTACTACTGCGTCACTGCGTTCTACTCCATTAGATTATTTTCTCGTCCGAATTCAGAAGCCCTCTCGGTTGCTATCAATACTCGTAATTATACCATGAAGAAGAAACTCGATACCCGCTTCCCTGCGGTATGCCATCGCCTCTATAAGCATTGCTCAGTTATTATTGTTATTAATGCTCCATATAATTTTTATTTAAAAGCCAGAATTGGGATACACTTCAGATTTTGTTTTACCCAGATTTAATTTTGTTGCTGATTTGTCTTTCTTGGTAAAGCTCAAAATTCCACTTTTCATAATAAGCGGTACTGCAGTAAGCTGTAGCAAATTACTTACTTGTTATGCAGTTATAATAGTTCTACTTTTCAGCTTACGAAGCAGTCATTTATGCTCTTTATGGAAAATTGGCAGCGTTTCCTCTCTTTTAAGGTTTAAGGGCTTGTTTGGTTTGGGGATTTTGGAGGTAAAGGGAGGGAAGGATTGATTTTTTTATTTTACTAATTTATCTTTTAGACCTCAAATAAGAAATAACTATATAATTAGTTAGACCATGTATTTTTATATACTATTTTATCTTCACTCTATTTCAAATTTAGTTTTCTAAATGTAAAAATTATTTTAAATTTACGTTTGACTTTGACCTATGCCCTTCCCTCTCCTCTGAAACCCCCCACCCCAACCAAACTGGCCCAAATAGTTAGATAGTTGGTCAAGTTACAGACCTTGAGTTCCTTAGAAGCATATACTTGGAATTTGAGCTGAGGTTCCCTTAGTGTTGTCATATTTTTGCTGGCAAAGTCATGCTCCCAGATGTTCTTGTGGATATAAAAAATATCAAAATTTGCAATGAGATAGAATTTAGATATAAGGCATGACTATAGCACTTCTCTCAAGA